TCAACATCCCTTCAGAGCACTTTATAGCGTACCTACAGGAGAAACAAACTCCATGCAAGTCAAGGTTGCTGCTGCTGTAACCTCAGCTCAGCCGTTCTGCACAGGTTCAGAGTGGAAGACAAAAAGAAAAGAAGCCTTTTGGGGTGATTGCAGCACAGCTCTTGCTTCTACTCCTGCATCTGTATCCCAGTCTCCTTTATTACCTAGGCCGGGTGGACAAGCTTAATTTGCAGGTGGTGGGGTGTCTCTTTCTCAACAAAGGGCGTTAAGAGGAGTGTGCAATTTGGCTGATCCTAAACCACCAAGCATCTCGGTGTCAGACAGTTAAAATTAGACAGGCTCCAGAGAAGCTTGAGGTTTTCTTCGAGACATCTGAAGCCTTTGAGTCAAAGCGAGCAGAGATGAGAGGTTAGACTTGAAAAGGTAAAAGAAAAAACCCCAAAAGCTGCCTCAGCAGATACCAACCAGCAGCAGTTTTCTTCTCTTTCAAGGCAAGATAGGTGGGACTCAGTGCTTTAAATAAAGTCATGGCTCGACTACAGCCAAACATAAGATGCAAGACTCGCGCCGTTTTATCCTCAGTGGATACTGCTCTGGCTCAAAGGCCCAGAAGAGCACCACAGGGAAGCACTGCAGCACAAGTCAGTGCTTTGAGAAAACCGTGGGGGAAATCATGCTAACTCCTCAGCAGTTCAGGATGAGGTTCTTGGGTTCTTCAGCACGCCGGATCTACCTACTCGTGGTTACTGCCAACCACATCCTAAGTGGAGGGGAGGGGGGGAAACAGTCACAAAAGCTTGAGAGAAGATATGTTGAGTGCATGCAGACCCCTCTCTCTGAGCCTGAAGTCTTCTGGGACGCCTCACTGGTACAGTGGAAAGGAAAGAAAGGAGTGCAAGTTTTCCTTCCACACAGCTTCTCACCCCGTATGTGCCTGCTGTGAAAACAGCAACCAACACTGTCAGTTAACAGGGGAAGGGTGCAATCTAAAGCTCAGCCACAGACAGGGCCTTAGGAAAGCCAAGAGTAAGATACCAGTTTCTTCTCCTCAACAGTTCTACCTGAGCTTCAGCAGGCAGGTTGCCCAAAGAAATGGTGAATGCTCCATCCCTGGCAGTGCTCAAGGCCAGGTTGGACAGAGCCTTGGCTGACATGGTCTAGTGCGAGGTGTCCCTGCCCATGGCAGGGGGTTGGAACTGGATGATCTTAAGGTCCTTTCCAACCCAAACCATTCCATGATTCTAAGTCCAGATCCTGCAGCCATCACACCCAACACACAGCCATTCACCTTCTCCCAAGGCAAGTGCTTTGGAGCGTGCTATTGCAGGATTCCACAACCAGGGAAGCCTTCTGGCTAAACTGAGCCTAGAGATCCATAAAGAGCATTCATTCTGTGCACCTGACTGAGATCTGTGGGACTTGTGAGAAGGAATCTGTGAGTGAGATTTGGAAGCAAGGAGAATATTGTAAGCAAGCTGGAAGCAAACGCATCTTTACCCAGCTTGTGAACCAGGAACAGAGAGGTGGAAGCAGTGGACACATCAGCTCTGCTTCAGACAACCAAAGACACATGTAAGACTCCCCTGGTGTGAAGGTAAAAACAAGAAAGGAAGACTAAAACCTGAAACAGAGAAGAGTAATTTCTTAGCTATAGCATTAGAGGGGTGACCCACAATTATGAGGTGTTTCCATGCTCAGATCTCTGGCCCACAACCACTGACCCTACTGGAAATGCTCAGTTAATATCGGTAGAGAAGCACGAGCCCTACAGAAACACCAAGTTTCAAACAGAAATAGTGCTTACATTGAAAACAAATAAGGAAGCTTCACAGAAAATCCTCTGGAAACACAGGCACCGGCTGCACCTCCTACTCCATTTGCACCAGTATTCAACAGATTCACCCAACACAAGCCCTTACCTGGTGGAGTTTCAAATGCAATTCCCACTTCCATTAGGGAGCCTCTTCCCACCCTCTATCCCCCACTGTCTACCAAAGCCAGTACGTAAGACAACACAACTCCTGTCCTGCAGCTGTAAGCACGTTACCCAAGCACAAAGATCTTATCGTGATGCTTGCAGAGTCTGCTAACAACACATGCTGGGGAGTTTCATGAGCAAGACTGTTTCCCATTGCAACACTACAGAGTTAAAAGTGGGACCTTCCCAAGACCCCAACTTTGCAGTCCTGTGTACACTTGGCTCCCGAAGGGCAAGCACAAAATAGGACTTCTTAAGTATATCCCCAATTCCTTGGCCAGAAAGACCATATATTCTACTGAAAGGGGACTGCATTACCCAAACCAAGCACTGGTTCTGTGAAACTCTTGTAGGTAAAACACACAGGCTCAAGAACTGCCCCATAGCTGGGGGTCACTACTCCCATCTTTGACAGCATAACAAGAAAATGCCGTCTGAAAAGGGATTTTGAGACATGCACTCTTTATTCAGTACAAACAAGACAAAGATCCCTGTGACATGTTTCCAACTTTTTTCCCATTAAGCCCTTTGCATCGAGTCCCAACATTATCTTGTCCTGCCCAGGTTTGCCTTTGTGTGGAAGGAGAACCATTAAAGCAGACCCTATTCTTCTGCATCTTCAAGTTCCTTTTGACACACCATCTTCCAGCCAGGATCTCAGGGTCACCTACCTTTTAAGTCCTTGCCTGGAAGACAGCATTCTTGCCATTGATCTCTTCAGAAAGAGCTGCTGTAGAACCTGGACCAGGTCAGGATCTGGTCACCCTTTCACATCCTTGCTGAGTCTTCTCCGTTTTGCTCTGTGCCTTTTAACATACCTGTAAATCCAGTCCATCAGGGAGGTAAGAAAACAACAGAGAGGGCACAGAACAGTCTCAGAGCACACAGACTGCTATGGACAGTGAAGGTGATAACTGGCTTACATACAGCAATGAAGACTTCAGTTAGCTGTGGGCAAGCTTCCTAACAGTAAAAGCTAGAACAGTTTGCCTAGGGAAGACTACAGTCCCCATCACAACAGGTTAGAGAGACTGGGAGTACTTCAGATACAGATGATGTTGGCTTAGGGTACAGAAATACAGAGCTAGATCATCTCACAAGCCTTTCATCTTGCATTACCTGTTAAAATAACGTTTGCAGTCTTGTAAAAGATACATACAGGACTAGGTCAAAGACAATGTACTGCACATCCATCAGCAGTTCCTTTGGGACCTTATGTTGGACATTTGCAAGCAAAAAAGGGAAGGAGATAAGTGATTGCAAAGCCACGTCAGAAGAACATTCTCAAGTAGTTTCCTGCTGATACAATGACCAGTAAATAACCAAGCTGCTGTCAGAGGCTCTGGTCCATACTGTGAGCTATTTGCTCAAACACAGATGGATTTCCAGGAAGTGTGTCCTAGGAAAAGGATCAGAATATCTATTTAGACATACAGAGATCCTGTTGTCCCCAGTGATTTAAATATATCCACAATGAGAGTACAAGGGCACTGCAATAGTCTATAGTCAGACATCCGGTGATATCAACGTTCCCAACTCCATCCAAAGAGAGCAGATTCCTTCCCCTTGCAGTCCAAGCTTAGGGTGGACTTGTCCTTCTCAGCATGGACAATAAACTATCACCTCCTTCAGAGCACGCTGTTAAACACAGGCCTCTTCTGTGACTGCCATTACAGAACACCCAACACGTATTTGTCAGGAGGAAAGTGTTTGCTGGCCAGTCAGGAGGAAAGAGCAGGTTAAGAAAGAGAATTCAACTACATAGCACACACTATTCACCACTTCATATTCAGCTACCTGCTCATTCATCCTGAGTAATCACATTTAAATGATTCACCCATACATAGGCAGGACTACAGTCTGAGCTTACAGATCTCACTCCAGGGACAGGAAAAATACCTGTGGTCAGATGAGTGCCTGCAGCTACACTGAGCAGGCAGATTTCAACCCCTACAGAACTGCAAACATCACACCTACCTTCCAGATGGACCTGTGTAAAATGTCTTCTTACAGACCGGTTCTGGCTAAATACCAGGTTTACACCCATCTGCTAAAACCACTGTGCCTCTTAGCTGCTGTGTTAACAAAGCAGCACTTCCAAATTCCCAAGGTCAGGCAGCAGGGAGGATGTGAGGAATGACCATTTTAGCATTAGGAATATTTCTTCTTGTCATGCCTTCAGGAGGCAGCCGGCTCCACCAGACAGGCCATCCCATTGAGTTTCAGCATCTGCATTAGATCACACAGCTACACCACAGACACCAGCCAGGGCTCTGACAATAATCCCACACCATGGCCTTCAAAAACATTAGATGCACCAGTGCCTTGACCATTGGGTCAAGGTGAGCCAGATGACTCCCCATAGTCCCTCTTCTATGCATTTGCCCTCAGTCAGGTGGTTTCATTCAGATCTCATTTCCACCCTTGGATGTGGAAACAAACTACACTTGAGAGGTTAAAATAACTGACCTGCTTGAGACTGCAAAGGAAGAAAGGCTATATTGTCCCATTCTGCATCCCATAATCCAGTTGCAGAAGTGCATGCCAAGGCTAAAAACCCTAGGGTAAGTCTTGTGTTGTTCTTGGTATGCTGTAATTCCTGTATCTAACCAGATGCATGTTTGTAAACTGTGATGCAAAGCCTTTCTACTTGTAATATTACACAGAGTTATGGCAAAAAAGCAATGTCTCGTGTGTTACACTACATTTTCACAAATACAATGTAAACCCCAATGAAGCCGGAATAAGAGCTGGGAGTCTCACTCCTCTTACAGCACTAGAAACCAGAAAAATAGAAGTCCTCCTGGCAGTTAAAGCACTAAACTGTTGTAGGAATAATACCCAAATACCACCATCATTCTGCACACTTCAAGCCACAAAACCCACAGCTGGTATGAAGCTAATCCTGTTCCATTCCTTCCTTCCAAGGCCTGGCTCTCAGGTAATTAATACTTGATGATAAACTGCTTGCAGGGCCTGTTCCAGGGTCTGCAAAGGAATGGTGTCAAGAAAAAAAACCATCTGGGGTCAGAGCAGACCACTTTATTCCAAGAATGAAGCACATCTGGTAATGACCACACAGCCCCCAGCCATTAGACTTTGCATTTGGGGTAGGAACTTGAGAGTAGAAGCTCTCTGGCTCAAGTGACCTGCATGTGTCTGGTTTGAAAGCCCAAACATGTCAATCACATAACTGAGATGTAGATACCCATACAAGTGGTGCTGCTTTTCACTCTCTTCTCCTCTGGAAGTATCAGTCCTCATCAGCTGAGAAGAAACAGTCAGGTTTTTGCATTGGCCATCTCAGCAAAAGGTGGCACCTCCAGAGTCCACACAGCCCATTACAGATACTTGTGCTTTACTTTGCACACATCTTCATCACACAGGAAAATGAGACATCAGCAAGAACTCCTTGTCCATTAGAGACTTTACAACCTCATTTCTCCCTTAATACTGTAATCGCTACTATCTCTCCCCCCTCTCCCTTTTCCTTCTCAAACACACAGGACTGATTTTATCTTTAAAGAACCATTTTAATCATGTCAGACAAATCAAAGGAAGAAACCAGAGATTATGAAAATACTCAATTCCATCTTGTTTGTTGTTTAAATCTCACCAAAGAGTCTGCATGATTGACAGCAAAACCGTAAGAATCAAAAAGAAGATTCTGCCTTCTGCTCCCAAGGTGCTGGCCTATGAAAAACATACTCCAGACCCCAAAAAGAAGGGAAATAAACCCCAACCGGGATCCATTAATCCATTAAAGGAAAAATGTCTCATTTTAAGACTATACACTGCAGGCAGGTTAACCAGGCTGTTTTGATCCAGCCAAAACAGCCTAAATTTTATATGTTATATGCATCCTTGTACTTATCAATTTACTTAAGTCTTCAGAGGAAGCAGAAAAGAAGCAGTGAACTTGCTGTCCAAGAGGTGACAATTGGCTTTCCAGATCTAGACTACCAGGTCCTTCTCCATGCTACTGCTATTTGGACCAGCTTGTTCTCTTTCACACTTCTCACTGCCCCTGTAAGAAACCAACTGAAATGTTTCCAAGGTCACTTGCATAGAGGTGAGGTTCCCCTCAACACAGGCAGTAAGCCCACTCAGACTCAAATGATATTGATACTAACCAGGGGATAAAATCAGCTGGAAGTGTCTAGTCTATTGGCAGCTCAGACCTACCAGTCCCCATGAGTAAAACCAGCAAGCTAGTGAGGCTGCATACCCCCTTTGCGTGCTCCTCTCCAGTTGCAAAACATGGTAAAGAAAGAGAAGTGTAAGAGGCTGTAAGCAGCCTACAAGGACTACATTTTCACCTGTCTGCTGTGCATCTTCCAGTGAAGTTCAATTTCACAGTCCAAGGCACATTCTGAAGCTACAGCTTTTATTTTCTGAGATGATTTCAGTATTTAACTCTGGCAGGTTTAGAAAAGGAAACCTACTGGTTAAAACTGAGGCTTTAAAAAAGGGAAGTACGGGTTGAGGGGAAGGGAAGGAAAGGGAAGATAAGGAAACACTCAAATCATTAGAGATGGTTCAGCCACAAGTCTCTAACAAAGAGCTGGGGAGCATAACTTGGATACTGTGTGGTTCCGTTGATACTAGGTTTGTCTACAAATTCTATCTCACACGCCTGGGTGCTGCAAGGTGAATGCTCCAGCTCCAACACTGTTATGTTGTTTGGTGTTGACGAAACAAGTATATTCCTTGGGACAAAAAGGGTCAGCTGAGGACCACGGGCTGGCCAGTAGCGACCGAGATTAAAGCCATTGATCCAGATTTGCCCCTGTTGAGAGAGAAAAACAACAGATTAATAATTTGACAGAGAACAAATGATGCTTTAAGCAGAGCAATAGCTTTAAGTATAATGCTCTTCACATAGTAACTTAATTCCCTCCATCCTTCTGTGTGGCAGAACACAAGGAGAGAAGATTGGTCCAAGGAAATGCTAATAACAGTGAAAAGAATGTAAATCACCTGATGAGTTAAAGCCATCATTAATGCTTAAAAAGAAAGTGGTCAAATACTGCAGTGATTCCATGTATGCCAACACTTCAGACAACACAACTGCAGGTTCCTGGCACTGAATTCTGCACCAAGTTTAAGAGCACAGCAAACCTGAAAGTTGTATTTGCTTGAAGCTGAAATCACACTGCAAGAGAGTACTGTATTTTGCTGTAGCTACCTACACCCATTACAATCCCTGAAGGTCTGCAAGCATTAACTGAAGTTCAATGAAACTGTGGTTTACCTGGGATGTAAACTCCCTTAAAATTACTTTTCACAGTAGAAATGGCCAGAACCCCTAGTTCCGAATACTGGTTTAACATTATAAATATACCTCAAGTTCAAAAGATTTCCAGCAGCACAATTTTAACACAGTGAATAATGGCGTTCAAGCTGGTTTTGAGGTATTTTTCTTGTGTTTTCTCTTTCCAGTATTTATGGAAACAAAGTCGGGCAAAACTCCCAAGAGAAATTTTATGAGGAGCTGGCACATCTGCAAATGCAGGTGAATTAGTTCAGCTCTGTGGTATGAAATCCTGCCTTGCACAGTTCTGCTAAGGTGGTCGTTAAAAAACAGGTTTGAGGTCAAAGTTTGTTCATTTTTTGACCAAGTTCATCATGCTTTGTGGCTTGTTTTTGCTGCATTAAAAGGCAAGAGGAAGAACTATTTACTACAGAAGCAAAGGAGTGAGCTTGAAGAGTTTTAAAGGAAAACATGGCATTAATGCAGCCTCCCTACACAAACTGAATTAGTGTACCCAGAAGACAGTAGCTTATCTGCTACTGAGTGACTGCACCTACTACAGAGAGGGACTGTAACCCTCTGGGAAGAAGTGGCTTACTATAGGAATCAACTGCATTACAGTTCTAATACAGATGGTATCATCAGACAGGTCCCTTGTTTCTGATCTTGGTCACTGGTTGTAAACTCATTTTCCCAGTAAAGCTCTGGACTTCACTGCTCAATTCCAAACTATCATTATTAGCACTGCAATTTCCAGAGACTGCACGCTCAGGAATTTGTATGCCCTTAACCAGCAAATCCCAATATTATATAGACTACCAGTCAATGTGCCCCAGACAAAATAAAGGCATGGGGGCGATCTCTATCTTCAGTACCAAGAACTCCTTCAGCAGGGTCAGCAACTACAACCCATGATTCCACAGAAATCAAGAAGTGTCCCGACTCCAAATCCTCTATTCTGCTGAAGAGAAACAGTCTGATAAACCTAACCACACATGCAGGGCATGTATACTCAAGGCCACCATGCTTCCTCAAGTGAAGGTGGAGGAAGTTTTATCAATGAAGAGTTTAAAAACCACTGAAGCCAAGCAAGCCACAACCATAGGCCATGACTGTTAATGCTGTACCCTTCCTTCCAGGCTATTCAGCATGTCAGACTTCTTGTCTTACTATGCAGGACCGTAGAATCATAGAATAGTTAGGGTTGGAAAGGACCTTAAGATCATCTAGTTCCAACCCCCCTGATGTTTTCTTGCCAAATGTTTGTTTCCATAGTTTTCCAACTACTCCAATACACCAATTTCAACCCCTTTTAAGAGTCCCTCTCCTCAACATGGCATCACCAGTTCACATAATACCACTCAAGGGATTAAGGCCCAGATACAGTGGGACCTGAGTGGAATTCACATCCTTAAGGCTCTCTACCTTAACTTCACCAATGAGCAAATGCCTTTATTTGGAAGTCTTGGTTTCAATACCCAGTATCACTTCACTCTTACTCCTGGGTGCCTTAAAACTCTGGTCTGATCCATATAAAGCTTGAAGAATCAATTCAATAGCCCTACTTACAGCTCAGTTGGAATCTCTTCACCACGACTGCTTTAGAGGGTATATAAACTATGTATAATAGGGGTTTCTACAGATCAGAGGAATATATTTCCACCAATATATAAGTATTCTTGGGCTCATTTGCCATTTCAAAGACGAGTTTGCCAGCAGGCAGGTATGGTCATCTCACTGCCTGAACAAGATCTGCGATTCATGGGTCTCAGATTCCAGCTGCTGTGCAAACAGCTATTTTTGGATTTTATTCAGTGATTAAGACATGCACATATATAGGAATGAATAAATCAAACTTCCTCATCCAAGCTCAGTGCCAGCAACAAATCAGAGTCTTCTGCCTATTGGGAAGTGCTTTAACCACTGCAATACTGTAAATAGACCACCAGCATCTCCTTCTCCTATTCTGTTTTAATAGCAGTAAATGAATTGTTTCAGAAATCAATAATTCTGCCATCTATCACAGGCACTTCCCATAAGCCTGGACTTAGATGCTCAGGTCTTTAAGAACAGTGGCACTTGAGTGCACACATTCTGCTCTCTGTGCTTCCCACCAGCGAGTTGAGGTGGTCTCTACCCACCCTGCCTGTTGGCTGCTTCAAACATGGCACTGTGAAAACACACTTTGTTGCTTTAGCTGCATTCCAGCCCTATGAGAAGTTTCCATTAACACAGATCTGCCCACAGGCTTCTCAGAGTAGTGCTCTCTGATCCATTCAGTCCAGGTAACCTCCAGAAGACAAGCAGTAACATATTCCATGCATTGGATCTGTATCTATGGGCACACCACCAGCACTTGTGTCCAACCCTCTGTTTTCTAAGAGGTCCATATTTCTTCAGACAGCACTGCAAACATGTTTTTAATCAATATAACCAGGAAAGTGTCCTTCACCATGGACAGGCATTTCTAAATAGCCTGACATTTCAGCTTTCTCAGTGTTGAAAGACTAGGGGTTTAGTTTCTGATGATGGCTCCATTTTCTACACCCACACTATGTGTCATTTGAATATACCTTTCCCTTCTCTTTTAATAGTTTCTCTCCAGATTTACTTAAGGAATGAACTTCCTAGTTGCTTAAATATATTTGAGATACCCCGCCACTACAATCAACCTCTACTCATCCAAGAGAGGTTGATTTTGATTGTCCATAGAAGTGGACTTCCAACTTTTTACAGCAAAACATTGTACCTTTGTCCAGCCAGGAAACTTGACATAGGTGTCTTGAGGCAAGTCTGGAATTCCTCCAGGAATTGAAAGTGTTCCAGTGTAAAAAGTAGGTGCTTCGTAACTCAGTGGATCGTCAACAGATCTCTTTGGTTGATCAAGGTGCCTGTTAATATCACGGTTCACTGCTCTGTCTATGTCCAGAGGATAGATTTCCCATTCAGCAAGTATATCTTCATCAAGAGTTAAATTTGAAACGAGACCCTAGGAGGAGGAAAAAACACAAACCCAAAGGAGAACATAATTAACTTCATGCTATTGAAGCTATTTGGCTGCAGCCATAAATCAGTCAGGAATAAAAACTGCATCAAACCATTTGCAACAGCTGCCAACCTGTGTCTGAATAAAACCCTAGCATCTGGTCTTCACCAAGTTAAAAGCTTTGCTTAAGAACAAAGAGTTCAGTTTTTTCACTGGGAAAGATCTGTTCCCCTTCTAAGTTCTGATCTTTCACCGATGCCCAAGGGTTTTTGTTTGTGGTTTGTCTGTTTGTGGTTCTGGTGCTGGGGTGTTTTGTGCCTTCCCCTCCCTCAAACTTTCTTCACCATAACTGTGGAAAATTTGTTTTGCTTCAACATGAACATGATTCCAAACCCTAGGCCTTAATATAAAGTGGAAGAAGCATTAAATATCATAGGTCTGAGATATCATCAAGAGATTTGGTAACACTGAGTCACTAACCCAAGACATCAACCTGCACAATAGCAGAGAAAGCAGTATTTCCTTCCTGCAAACCCTCTCCAGCTAAGATACAGTATGACAAAATCAAGGGCACATGCTTTGTGACCCTGATTCAGTGAAATACTCTAAAGCTTACAGTCAGCTTCAAGACCACAGAGTTCTGTTTCACTTCTATGGTGGAACCAAGTGTGCAGCACACCAGTGGACTCACACAGCAAATGCAAAAGCAAGGTATGGGCATGCTGTAAGAAGGAACATTGTTACCCCTGCACAAATCCTAATTGTGCTAGAATAAGTTTCTAAAATGGTGTTTTAGTGCAACACAAAGGGTTGATTTTAAACCAGTGCTGCTACATCCATATAACTGCTTGAACAGACCCTGCAGAGAGGTTGTTTATCAGTGCAACTTAAGTTCTGCAAACACCACATGTCAAACAGGAACAAGCAAAACCACATTTTCTATGGCCTTGGAGGGCTGATCTATGTTGTGTGTCTCTTCTGATGTCTAGTAAGCACTGCACTGACTCCACCAGCCTCATCATCAGTTCAAGCACTAACTGGTTTTCTCTTCCTTTACCTAGATGCCCAGTTTATAGAACAGGATCTTATTTCTCTCATAGCAAAATAATGTATCTCAATGGAGTTAAGTGGCAAAACCTTTCTACACAACCCAGACTTTCCTCTGTCAACAGTCAGATATGGATATAGATTTGCCAAGTGAAACAATGATATAGGTGGAAGTGAGCATGTGAAAAGAGAAAAAACAGAAGCCACATTCTCCCTTTGTGTCCTTCAACAAGGCTGAGATCAGCAGGGTGTTTTAAAGTGAAAACCCTGTTAAGATTCCTTCCCAAAAGCTCGATGCTTTGCTCAATTTCAAGCTCGATAAAAGTGACTGAAAACCAGCCAAGCAAAACCCAGACAAGCCACCCTAATCTGCTTCAAAATGCGAGGCTTCAGGAGGCAGGAACCTCTTCCCCCAGACTGCTTTTGAAAGCACAGAATATCTAAACCCCAAGGTACAATTATTCCCAGGTTTCCAAACCAACACGAAGAACAGCATGAGGGAAGGGTTCTGCAAGAAAAAGCAATGCACATATTCCAAGCTACCTGAGAAAGGCAACCTCTTGTACTGAAGGAAGCCTGCTTTTAGAGGATTATCCTCACAAGGTATGTGTCTACTCAACTTGCGTTGCAAGGTTGAAACCCTGCTGTAAGGGGGAATTTCAGCTCATTCACAGCAACACTGAGCACCTTCCTGATCTAACATCTAACCCTCTACTCGGTCACCTTAAGTCCACAGTAAGTACATAGGCTTCTTTATCACCTAGCCTGTTATTAAATAACTGAATGCAATGCTTCTGCTGCTTCAACACAAAGGCAACACACTGGGGTACTAGCTGCCCTCTCTTGCCACGCAGATAAAGGCAAGGTACCTTGGAAAAATAGCATGAGCAGAGTTGACACTACTGCTACCCACTGAATTTATACACCTCAAGCACAGAAAAGCCTCAGTTGCTGATGGTTTTAATCCAGAGGCTTTCATACATCCTAAGAATTCCCATAAGAACAAGTTTAGCTTGTTCTGATTAGGATTTAAAAGAACTGCATGCTTTTTAAAGTGCTTTTACTGCTGCCTGTAGGCTACCAGCTTTGCAAATGCTTCGAGTTTGTATTGCTTTGCCTTGGATGGAGTCTTAGCATAACTGGAGATATACCTAGAAATCCTCACCACAACACACTTCAGAATAAGACAACTGGTCAATGACATTCCTTTAAACCAAGTCTCAGCTCCAAATCTTCTATGCTGCTTAATCATAATATACATCCTTCTTCAACAATGCAAACAGGCCCATCCTACTCACGGCAGCACAACACAAGTGTGAGAATGGGAGTTTCTGCTGCTGTCAATCTTTCAAGTCTCTTCCCAGTCTATGTTTTAGACAGAACGAGCTAGATTCTCTAACAACCCCCAAATTTACCAGCTTTTGGTCTCATCAACTAGGCTAGCAAAGATATATCCTCACTTGGGTTCACTCTTTCCTCTATTTACAAGCTTTAAAGTCCTGTTTCCTCACAGCACCCGTGCCTCTGCTTGATAACTAAATGGTACTCTTCAGGCCCATGTCTTTCCTGTGATGTTTATCTTTCTCCTGCTCTTGCATCTAAATTAATGATGAATTGCTTTAGAGAAGTCTAAATTCTGCTCCACAACACCTATCATAGAAAGATTGAGGGGAAACAGCAGCTTCTCATTTTCCTGGCATCACCCTAGCACCAAAAAGCACCGTAATAACCAGTCATTAATCTGGACAGCCACTGAACATTTGACAAGCTTTCTGAAAGAATATCATGGAATCAACACAAGCCAAGTCAAATCTAGCAGTTAGGGGCTGCAAATCTCTTCTTAATTGTAAAGCTTTCCAATTACTTCATTATCACTTGTGGCCTAATAATATCAAAACCTAAAAACAAATAGCTTGCTTTGACACTGAACATAGCCAACATGAAGCACAGCAAGCCTGGCCTCTACAATGCCCTCACAAATATCACACCAGGGATCCCATTAAGTCTAAACCAAGAAAGGTTTCCTTTTTGCCCCTGCCCTTCCTACCTCAGTGACACCTCCACTGCATTGGTTTACGTGGCAAGGTTTTGGTAGCAGGCAGACTGCAAGGGTGGCTTCTGTGAGAAGATGCAAGAAGCTGCCCCTCTGTTGGACAAAGCCAGTTCCAAGACAGACCCGCTGCTGATTTCCCCCAGTCAACTCTCTTCTGCCCAGTACCAGTGGTAACTGGTGAGTGATCTCCTTGTCCTTATCTGGACCCATGAACCCTTCTGGTGTTTTCTCCCACCTCCTGTTGACGGAAGAGTGATGCAGGTCAACCCACCACAGCCACTTAAGGTGTCAGTCCCAAAGTGTAGCATTGACTCAGAAGCATTCAGAAGCTTTCTGATCATTATCTCCAACACCTGATCAGTCCAAACCTGAACTGGCAGTGTTTACATGGTAAAGTGCTCATGAGACAGCCCTTCCTAGCCACACCAAAAATCCTGCAAGGATACGCTGCTGACAAAGGAAACGTGACACGGTGAGAGATACACTATAGGCATGTAAACACACACAAATGCAATCCAAGGATTCAAAAACCTCAAAGGACAACCCAGATCGATTGGCAATCAACCAGCGATTTTCCAACTCATTTTTGGAGTTCATCCAAACAGCTTCACACATTTTAAAGTTAGCTACAGACTTGACAACCTGAAAGTCTTGTGGGTGACACTGTGGCTCACAACAGAAGTGACCCACCACCACCACCAAAAAACTTCCTGTGTTTGGCAGTTTTTAGTTCCACATAGATTTTGGTGACTGGAAAAAAAACTCAGATGAAAACTAGTAGTTATACCCTGAGGTAAAGTTAGAGCTGTGTAATCCTTTTTGTTCTAAGCCACTACTTGTTTTTCAGCCTGTGGAAAAGAGGAAAACCCACCACAGTTCAGTAACATAAATGATTTCACTTACCTTAAAGTCATTGTTGTATCTACCAAAGTTGACTCGGCCCATATTCTCCACCAAGATGTCCAGATTTGCTCCAGCCTTTCCAGTTATGTTTATTGAAAGTGATTTGTCCCTTTCAAGAACACCCTGAGGAACCTATATGAGTTATACCAAGAGGAAGAAAATGACAACCAGTGAAAACCAACAAACCCCTGTTATTTGTCTCTTCAACTTGCATGTAGAAAGGGGAAAAAGGAAACAAAATAAGTGAACCCCCTCATTTTCCTTTCCTCCTTTTGTATGTGAGAACACGTGCACACAAAAGCTGCTATATCAACACTCACATCTCAGTACATCAGCTAGTGCTACTAGGTGGCATTTGTCTAATTGACACCATCTCTTTCCTTACCTGGTTTCAACTAACTCAGCTATTAGAAACCTAGTGGGTTTTGAGGCACCTGCTTCACAAAAAAGCAGGTTCTCAAACTGAGCCTAGTGACTGAAAAGTTGTTGGCAATAAAAAGGGGTTTCATCTTCCAATTAAACTTGCTTCTTTATTCCCATTTTAACAACATAAGGAAAGAAAGGCTTGACCTGGACACAAAGATTGTGAGAGTCAGCACAGGTCAGAGATTAATTCCAAAAAAGGCTATCAAAGCTTGTGAATTCATATCAGTTCTCATTAAGCAGGAACAAACCCCTTCTTAAGGGAAGAAAGGTAAAGTTCACATCCTGTACAATAAACTTGGGGTCTTTTTTAACCTGTAGGCAGTAACCAGTTTTTTAAGACAAGAGTTAGGCTCAGGCTTCCACTTCCCCCACACTTAAAGAGAATGAAATCCCTCAAAAGCCATGGAAACACTGTAAAAAGCCACCAAGTATATATATCATTAACATATTTCGTGAACCTGCAAGTAAATCCTTCTTCTAGTTTGGCTGGTTTTACTTAAGTAATGACTCTGTATCAACATTCAAATGTGTCAAAAATGGAAGCAATTACATTTTCCTTAGAAATAACATAGTATTTTCTGAAATATGAACATTTAGTATGAATCACAGGATGGCTTGGGTTGGAAAGAACCTTAAGATCATCCAGGTCCAACCCCCTGCATGGGCACGGATACATCACATTAGACCAGGTTGCTCCAAGCCCCATTCAACCTTGCCTTAAACACTGCCAGGGCTTCTCTGGGCACCCTGTGCCAACGCCTCAGCACCCTCACAGGGAAGAACTTCTGCCTTAGATCTAACCTGAACTTCCCATTTCAGTTTGAACCTATCACCCCTTGTCCTGTCACTACAGTCCCTGATGAAGAGAATCAACGGTATACTTTCTTCCTTCCTTCATGTGACTGAATAAGATTACCTTATAGAGTTAGTTTGGTAAGGCAGACTACAGGAATGACTTTCATGAGGCCACCCACTGCAGAAATTAATACCAGGAAACACTGTTTACCCCATCGACGGAGACATAGGCACGGTCATGGACTCCATTTGAAGGTGAAGACAGTTGCGTTGGCTCCGTACAGTTTTTGGGAAGCGCAGTTCTGTACAGTACAAACCCAAAATACTAAGAAAAGAAAGGAAAAACCCCAAACAGATTAATGAACAGAGTCATTCTGCAGCTTCAGTTCAAGTCATGAATTAGATGTATCCCACATTCCTGCCTACACGCTCAGACTGAAATGTTAACTTTCATTCACTTCAGACAGCATCTATCAGATACCAACTCCAGATTAGAACTCACTTTGACCTTCAAGTAACGGGTGTAAATTCCACAGTTTCCATTTTTAAGTGTTGCACCCAAACATTTATGTAACTTTAGAAGATAAGGATCTTGCCTATGAAGTTATGTCCTCAAAACAAAGCAATTAATAACTGACAGTATTATCTCTTCACTGAAATCAATGAAAAGATAGCTGGAAAACCCCTTCCCAACTGAGTTTATGTAACAAACTCCATCACCCCCTGCCCATAATTGACATAATCATCCGGCCTATATTATTTATTTTAAGAACTACCTAATCTACATCAAGAACATCCCAGAATCATAGAATGTTTAGGGGTGGAAAGAACTTAAAGCTCATCCAGTTCCAACCCCCTGCCATGGGCAGGACACCTCACATTAGACCAAGCTGCTCCAAGCCCCATCCAGACTGGCCTTGGACACTGCCAGGGATGGGGCAGCCACAGCTTCTCTGGGCAACCTATGCCAGTGCCTCACCACTCTCCTAGTAAAGGACTTCTTCCTTATACCTAACCTGAACTTCCTCTGTTTCAGTTTGAACCCATCACCCCTCGTCCTATATTTTTCACTAAGTTCTCCATCAGAAAACAACAAATGTCAATGATTAGATTTGCTCTCATCACAAAGTGAAACGCAAATAAAAAACAAGTAAAAATGGACCACCTCTTTCACTCAATAGCCACAAAACCATTTACCTTCTAGGCTTGGATTAGAACGTAACCCTGTGTCCTGGTTTCAGCTAAGATAGCGTTAATTTTCTTCCTTATAGCTGGTGTAGTGCTGTGTTTTGGATTTAGGATGAGAGTAATGCTGATAACATGCTGCTGTTTCAGTTGTTGCTAGGCAGTGCTTACACTAAAGTCAAGGACTTTGAGCTTCTCATATAGCCCTGACAGCACAGGAAGCACAAGAAGCTTGCAGGGGACACAACCAGCACAGCTGATCCCAACCTCCCAAAGGGATGTTCCACACCATATGACATTATGCTGAATAGTAAAGTTGGGAGGAGTTGGCATCCTGCTGCTTGGGGGATGGCTGGGCATCAGGCAGTGGGTGAAGAGCAATTGTGTTGTGCCTTGCTTGCAGAAAGGACTGTTGTGGTTTAACCCAGCCATTCAGTTACTCTCCCCAATGGGATGAGGAAGAGAAACAGAAGAAGGTATGGGTTTAGATAAAGCCAGTTTAATAGGAAACAAAAAGAAGTGGAAAATAATAACAATGATAAAAGAACACATAAAGCAAGTGAGACACAATGCAATTGCTCACCACCTGCTGACTGATGGTAAAGATGCTGGACTCAAGAAGAGTAATATCACAGAGGGTTGTTCAAGGGAACCTGACAAAACTACTGACAAGTGCTTACTGAAAGGCCCCTCACCTGCTTTAGCTCAACAAAGGTTAGTGGGTAAGTGCTTCTCACTGGTCCAGCATGTGACAGCCTGTCAAGAACTTCCACCACAGCACCCACCTGCAGCACAGGAAATGCAGATACATGAAGGTCAGTAAATACCTGTCCAAAAGTAACAGCTTGTATATCCTGCCACCTACCTGCATCTTTCCAGAAAGCAAAGAAGTCCTAAGCCATTACATCATCCTTAGAGATAATAATACAATACAGAGAACTGAAGAACCCTGACAGAAACATGCCCCACGTGCAGCGATGTTTTACAAATGCAGGTGTTCTGAATTTGCTATACATTCATAAACATGACACTTTATCATTTAATGAGAACTAACCCAGGAGTTTCTCCCAAAGGTTCTATGAACACAACTGCTCTGGACAATTAACACAAACCAGTCAGATTATCTGACTTTTGCTCACTTAGACATCCGATCAAAGTAGGGAAAATATTACCGATTTCCAGTGAGTTACATTGGAATCATTGTGAGGGATCATGTGTGCAAGGATCTCATTTGGTTCCATCACAAGTTATCCAAAATGCATTTACCCTATTTAGTTTGAAATGATTTTATAAACCCTAATGTTGTGATTCAGTGTCACACTGAAGTAGCTGGACTGATCTTAGTGAGACTGGAGCACGGTTGAGGCTAGTCACATGCATAAGTACCTTGCTGAATGAGGATTTATATGTGTACAATTTAATTTCCTTTCATTGCCATTTGCAATTTCCTTTTGTGATTTTGGAGTTTTCCCCTCTCTACAATTCTCTCTCAATGTCCACTATCAATTTGATGGTAGTCAGGATGCACACTATATGCTTTACAAGCTCAAAAAACCTAACTGCATTCATGTTTTTCATGCAAGATGTCTTGTCTGTTCCACAAGAACTATTTCTCTCTGGTAATAACAAACATTCAAAATAGTCCTCAAATGCAGATTTACTTATAAATCCTTCAGAAAAACAGTACAAAACCCCAATGTAGGCATTTAAAATCATGTAAAATTGTGTACTCTAACAGCATTCACAGCAAGTCAAACTTCTGAGGCTACTTCAATAGCAAGTTACTGACTTTGCACAGAGCACAAATGAAAGTCAGCAGTGCTGAAATTAAAATGTACATCACTGTGCAAAATGCTGTACGTGATGGAAGTCAGCAGGAATCATCTATGTACATGGATTTATTTCTTCAGTATAGTATCAGGTTTAGCTGGGATAGAGTTAAATCTCTTCATAATGTCTGGGGCTATGCTTTGGATTCATGCTGAAAGGTGTGGATAACAGGGATGCTTTACCTGCTGCTGAGCAGTGGTTACACAGAATCAAGGCCTTTTCTGCTCCTCACCCCACCAGTGAGCAGGATGGGGGTGCATAAGGAGTTGGGAGGGGACACAGTGGGGACAGATGACCCTAAGTGACCCAAGGGATATTCAACACCATGTAATAAAAGCTGGGGGATAAAAAACAACGAAGGGGGAGATGTTATGGCATTTGTCTTCCCAAGTTACATGTGATGGAGCAAAAGAAGGCTGTAAGTATACAACGGGCAATACCATCACTACCTGGAGGTTGGGTCACCCTCACTAGTCCATAGCTAAGATGGTCACTCTGGCAGGAGGGCTGTCAGGCAAATGATGGCTTGCAAAATCTGGATGATAGTGGCTTGTTCTTATTTTTTTCAGTTGAAGCATTGTACCTAAACTGATAACCAGAATTCCCCAAACACTCTGGCCTGGATGTGTCCCATTCCTCATCTTGTGCTCCTCGAAGGGAGCCAGTAATGTTAAAGCAATGTGCAGGACTTGGCAGGCCACAAGAGAGACTCAACCACCAGGTCTTGTACAGTGGCTGTGAAGCAAGAGATCAGTATCTCTGCACAGACACTGACAGAGACGACTTACAGAACTAAACAACAGTCCTATGAGCATGAAGAGTTTTGGCCTGAGGTGGAAAATGAAATTAGAAATTAATGTAAGCAGTATTAGGACATACATGGTCACTTGAACAAGCTACTGGCACTAAGAGCCCCTTTGTGCCTTGCTGAACCAGTATTAGCAGCTTGGATCTGTGCCTGTTTGACTTTGGGTTTGTTGGTTTTAAGTTCCTGCTATCAAGGAGGCTTCTGTTCTAAATACAGACTGACCACATATGATTCATACACGGCCTGGGCTGGTAGCAGCTTCTTTCTTTGACACTTCAATGGAGTATTTTTGTTCAGCTTTTCACCATGAAGTGGTGAATACACGAAGAAACCTCAAAAGCACGATCTGCTCTTGCTGCAAGTTCCTGTCGACTGCTACTCAGTGGATAATCCGGTTCACAACAGAAACTTCACAGTAAACTTAAAAATCACAAATACTGTCAAGAACATTTAAAACCAGATCAAAATCTGTTATTTCATCTGTAAAATAACAGATGACTACTAACCAAAAAACAGGAATACTTTCTTATCCTCCAGAGCAAGGTCTTCAGAACCAAAGTGTAAGAGCAAGCATGAAACTAAGCCTCAACAGGAATGGTATCAGCAACTACCAGCATCCTGTTTGCTTAACCCTTTTCTGTCCCAGCTCATACCAGTGCTGCCCACTGTTTGCTATTGCTTGAGGTATGCACATCCCAAGGACTGATTATGTCTCTAGAGCCTATCAGTCTGCAGCTTGCAGTACTGGGGCACTTATATACAAGCCCTCCTTAGTGGTGACCAGAAACTACCACCTGCTCACAAGCCTGTACAGACACATTGCAGGCACTGAGACTCATTCACTTCCCTTTGGAAACGATGCTCCCCACATTCTGCCTAATGCCTAAACCCTGTCATCTTGCTTGCATTTCTTGAGCCCATCTACTGCCGTTCTGCCTTTGCCTACCCTCATTCCTTATCTCCAACACACCTTCTGCATCTACGCAACAAGATCTTTTCCTTATCACCTGCTTTCATGTCTTCTGCAGCAATGTCAGTGTCCCCAGCACCTTTTAACAAATTTATCCTACCAGGATTTCTTTAAAATAATTCAATAGCTCAGACTGAACAAGTGTCTGAGAAGGGAACAGCAGGGGAGGTGTGCTGCTGTTGTAGGGTTTGGGTTGCATAGAATGTTGGGTTGGAAGAGACCATAAAGCTCATCCAGTTCCAACCCCCTGCCACGGGCAGGGACTCCTCACACTAGACCAGGTTGCTCCAAGCCCCTGTGTCCAACCTGGCCTTGAACACTGCCAGGGATGGGGCAGCCACAGCTTCTCTGGGCACCCTGTGCCAGCACCTCAGCACCCTCACAGGGAAGAACTTCTGCCTTAGATCTAACCTGAACTTCCTCTGTTTCAGTTTAAAGGCACTACTCCTTGTCCTATGTTTGGTGATGGTTTTAGTTGGTTGGGGTTTTTTTACCCCTCCCCAACTAGCCTAGGTTCCCAATTATTGTCATCTGGGGCAACCTATTTGCAGACGCCCAAAAGCCAGCAAATATGACAGGTAACACTGCTAAGGGCAAAGCTCTCTTTTCCTCTAGGTTAGGTCCTGAGCAGTGGATCAGGCACTTAAGGATTGAAGTGTCACAGAATATCCTGTGAGAAAAAACCCAGCCTGCTCTGGTCACATATACCCCTGTAAAACGCACCATATGACCCCTGAAAACACTCTGGAGTCTCCTTTCCCTCTTCCTTTCTGTGTAAGTACCAAGGGATTTAGTTCACTGTGGTAGATTCAATGGTCTACATAGACAGACTGCTGGACCTTGACTGCACAGTGAAGCTTCACACAGTACCTGTACTAGCATCATCACTGCAAATGATACAGCTGGGAAGTTTGCTGTTCCCAAAGCTAAGTCCTATCATTCTGAATATTCCCTCTCTGATATTTACCCAAACACATTCAAGCTTCTCCATCAACAAGGTTCACTGGACCTGGTTCCAACAGGGGCTAGAATGCATCACGGAGCTGGGAGGAAGGCTTTGGCTGGGATGGTATAAACACTCTGTAATTTAAGACTCCTCCTGCGTTGCAGGTTAATGAAGCAGAGGAACAAAGTGCTGCTGAAACGAAGCAGTGGTTTCACAGAACGGAAGCAGCCTTCCTCCCAGAAAACAGCTCTAGAGGTTTTCAGTGCAGATGGCAGCATATGTACAGGCAGCAATAGGAACCTCACACCTGGCAGGTCAGACATGCCATCTGGACTGCTACAACTACTAGGCGGAGAGTAAAACACCTCCCCTCAGAAAGCAGGGAGTATAGAAGCTGAGAAGGTGCAGGAACAGGGCTCCCAGTGTGATGGCCAGGTCAAAACTGTGATATTTGAGTAATTTGACTCATCCTCTGTAAGACAGAGGTCTGGGCTTTCTGCAGCATTCATTTCTTGAAGGCATGAAAGCTCATCATTCTACTGAAATTGAACAGCCTTATCTGATAGCCATGAACCATAAGAAGATGGAAGAGGCAAAATCTGATTGCTGTGCTTATAGTGATGAGCTTTGATAGCAGCAGAAGTGGTGGGTGTACTGGCAGTGGTATAAAATTAGTCACTACCAAGCATCAGCCTGTTCAGTGAAACCTCATATGGCAGCCTCCAACCTAAAACAACCGAGGATACTCAAAGGCTGGTGAAAATGATGAAGATCTGGTGCTATCACTTTGATACAGGAGGTGTTTCTGCCCACAACTTGAGTGGGATGACTTGAAAGCACCTGCAAAGCCTCTGCATTACCAATTTTCCACAACAGAGCAGATACATCACTGAGGGGAAAGGCGACCTCCAAATTCAAATTACAAAACCAATGCATTCTGAACTACAGCATCCAGTACAGTAACCAAAGCAACTTGTCTGTGCCCAGCAGAATGAATACAGACAAATTCATACCTGTGCTCTCCTCCATCCCCCCCTCAAACCATCCTCTATACTCAGTGCAAGAGCATAGTTCTCAACCATCTTTCACAGAGAATTGCCCCAGGTTGCAAAATGATGGTGCTGTGGGCAAATCCCAGCTACTCATGTGCTCAGCAGCTATATACTGCTGTGTCAGACAGGGTTTAACATATCTGTATGCTCTTCTGTCGGCAGGAAACTGATTCCTCTCACCAGCTACAGATTTTCACAAGTCCAGCAGACTTTCAAATGCATTGAAGTGTTCCACATTCAAACTTTAAGCACCTAGAAATAATTCAAAGACATGTATATCCTACCTGCTGTTGCTACTTCAGAGGCATCACCAGCTACAGAAACACTCCTTGCTCATAGCTCTGATGCCAGCATTCCCCCAGCTACGTTAATCAGACATGAGTGATCCTGGACAGCTATGATTCTGTTGTCTTAATAACATATTGATCTCAGTTTAGTAAAACTTCAGGCACAAACTGCATAATGTAAGAATTATCTTTCCTATGCAGGTAACACACAGCATATTACAGGTACAATTTACCTTCTGCAAGCGAACCTTCCCATACGCAAATTTGGGTGTTGTTGGAGGGATAAGACCTTCTGGTAGCTGGTTATACTAGAAAGGGAAGGAGGAAAAAAAACACATGAAACAGATTAAAGCATGCTTTAATGGAAGTCTCACTTTCCACTATCCACTTTAAGGAGATAATCTCACTGTGCTAAAGGATTACAGCTGCATCTAGTGTAAGACTGAACTTCCAAACAATCAATGCCCTTGGAGCCCTCCCGTGGCTAGAGCCTGCACTACTGGCTTCTAAAACCCTCTTGCAGTCCTCTTCTCAGTCCACAGGAGCTTGAGTGAACCTTTCTAAGTCTGTAGGGTAGTACTTCAAGCTGAGCCTTCCTTAGCAGCACTTCAATACAGGAATCATTAGCCTTCCTATCAACGAACTGAGGAAAACCTGATTTATATTTCTGGTAACAAGTCCATTTCTTTCTTTCTGTATTTGAAAATAATCAAGATACAGAATACAGACTGGTTTGGGTTGGAATGGACCACAGGATCATCCAGTTCCAAACCCCTGCCATGGTCATTTAGGCTTGAAGAAAAGAAAAACTGTAATTCAGCCAAGAGAAGATGTCAAAAGTAGGAAATCTCAGCCCAAGCAGTAAAAATTAGAGAATGCTGTCAGCAATTGAAAGAAGCTGTACACTGAAACCTTTATTCTTTATTATATTTAGTAACTGAAGGGAACAGTAAAGGAAGATTATAACATGCTACCCTTCTACACAACCAACATGTGGAACACAGTCATTAGTGGCAGGCAACTTAATTTTCTTCCATCAGCTCCACTTCAAACTGCAACAGAGTAGATGGACTGTTATGGGTTTAGAACCCACAGATACAGGAAAACTTTACTGAGATCCTATGGATATGGAAGGTAAGAGAGAGACCACAACACCAACACGCCTTAGCTTATACTGAGCACTTCAGATCTCATGAAGGCTCTCGCTGCACTAGAACACTACTTGCATTTCAGATAAGGATCTTGCCTCGAAGAAAACGACTCAAAAATGGGAAGCTTGGGAATTTCTCTGGTGAGAAAAGCTGTACCAAGACAGGAGGCTCCCCTTGAAAGGCTATCAAAATGATGCCCTCAATGGAAAGCTTAGGGATAAGGGAGTGATCCACAGCAGGCCTTCCACAGGTACAGAGACAAAGGCATGCTCAATCCTAGAGAAAGTATAGTACACCTTTGGGAGACCTGCTCCCATCACAAACATGTCTTTTAGTCACTAGGAATGTTGCTAGCACGCAACAGGACAGCAAGTACAAGCTTGAGCCTTGGTATTCCCATGGAATCTGTTTTTAAGCCTCACCTGAACCCTCCAATGCAAAGATATTCAAAATGCAGATGCAGGTTCCATGCTTCACTTCAGTCTCCAGTTTGTAAAGATACCGTGCACTTTTACAGCAAGGCAAGGCTGCTCCCAAGCACTAGTTACAGTTTGTGGCACGACAAAACCCAAGTAAGTGTTCATTTGGACAAGCACACTCCTTCTGAGAGGCTCCAAACCACACCATACAGGTTTGGGTACAGTCAGCCAAAGCACTAAGCTGCAGTGATGAGAACGGCTGATAGATGCTGCAAGAGGAAAAGCTCTGTTCACTCCCCATCAGGACAGAAAGGATAGCCAGAGAGGTGCAAGATCTTTCCCCTTTTGTAACAAGGAGCAGTTAGGCTGGCCTAATTGCCTTGTTATACTTCCCTTCCCTGCAGGAAGCAGTAAATTCAGAAGTAACCCACACCAACACAAAAATGAGAGTGTTTGCAGTATGCCAGTGATGTTTCAAGGGAACATGTCCTGGGGACACTCACCATGCCAATGACTTCCCTCAAGGCAAAATACTTCTCTGTCAGATCCCCTGCTTCACTCAGTGGAGCATCATAGTCATAGCTAGTGGGCTGTGGCATATAGGGCATATTAGCACCTAAAGGGGGGAAAAAAAGGGAATTATAAACAGTGGTATTTAGCACAGAGAAAGTTCTTGATGGAAGACAACACCCTTCTGAGCTCACACCGCTCTATTATAAAGTCTTCAGAAATATTCTGAAGAGAAACAAGTTTATCCATGTTTCAACTGCTTCAGAGGACTGAGGCAGAAGTAGCCTTTGCAAGCCTCCAAAGCCACGTGGGTTTAGGACAACACGCTGTCAACAGACAGAGAACAGCTAACGCAGTCATGCTTTGTCACGTGAAAGCAAGCAGAGCTTACTCTTTCACAGAGTACCTAATTCGTAAAGAGCTCCCCTACATCATGAGCATCACTTAAATCATCTCTTACCATTCCAATAGGCAAAGTTGGTCCCACCTATAAACATGTACCTAAAAAGGGGAAAAAAGCCATCCACTTAAATCAGGTTTTGCTGAATTGGGGAAAAAAATGCTCCCCCCAAATTAACCTCTACTAAGCACACACTTACAGGTTAACGTTAGCACCACGTGCCAGGATTTCATTAAGTGTTTTAGCTATAGTTTGTGCGGGCACAACAGAATGCCGGTGCCCCCAGTGATCCAACCATCCAGTATAAAACTCAGAATTAACCTGAAAGGAGGAAGGGCAAAAGAGGAAGGGAAAATATGAAGAGGGAACAAGAACAGAATGCAATGTGATTTCAGGTTACTAACTGTAAGAGGGAAGGAAAAAGGGCACCTTGACTCATTAGAGCTATTTTTGAGCTACTATAAATACAGCAAAGTACACACTAAGTCAGGCCTTTTCAGCAGATTACTGGGCAAATAAATTAAACAATTGTTCCAATCATTTTCTAGGAACACTTTGAAAATAAGTGTGGAAGTACCAAAGAGCATGAGCTTCCTATGAACCTGTCAACATGAACACGCTGCAGAGGCTTGACATTCAAATAAATGATGGAAGTAACACGTTGTCTGCAGGGCAGCACAAGTAGACTAAATTAAAATAGATCCTTCCAATATCAAATGGCATTCTAAACAGCTTCACAGACCAGAGATAATCTTGCATGCTCAATGGGCCTTCTCCCCTTGTCGAAAAGGCTTCCAGTGATCTCAAACCCCATTATAGCTTGTGTAAAACCTCTAAGGTAGCTGAAAACAGGAAGCAACTTCTAATCTACCCTTTTAAGTTTGCTTTTAGCTTCCACCTACACACATACCTCACTAACTCATCTCTCCATCCTCACTGTTTCCACTGCTTTGTAAACATTTGTCTTTGCAAGGAAAGCACCAAGGCAAAATCATTACCTTTGACTGCAATGGTATTTGCAGAGCAGCAGTTAATGTGAATTTCAAACACACACAGAAGCTCCTCTATTCAGTTTCTCTGACTTGGAAATGACATCTTTGTAAACATATCCCTCACTGTCCAACACACAGTTGTCAACTCCTCTCCTATTAAGTGCACCATTAAGAACAATACAAGAGATTTAAGTGAAAGGACATACCAAAGGGCCTGTAGGTTCACTGCTCCTTTGAGCCAAGAATGCTGCTGTGACATTGCCACCTATAAGCAAATAGAAATAAAACTGAGTTGCTACATCGACGGCTTTTTTGGTCCTTCATTTTACTGAAATAGATGTCTTATCTCCCCTCAGGGGTCGGTGTTGGGACTGATCCCATTCAACATGTTTGTCAGCAACGTGGACAGTGGGGTTGATGCACCCTCAGCGAGTGTGTCGATGACACCAAGCTGTGTGGTTCTGTTGATACGCTGGAAAGAAGGGATGGGATCCAGAGGGACCATGAAACACTTGAGAGGTGGCCAAATGCCACCCTCATGAAGTTCAACCAAGCCAAGTGCAAGGTCCTGCCCCTGGGTCGGAGCAATCCCAGGCACAGCTACAGGTTGGGCAGAGAAGAGATTCAGAGCAGCCCTGCGGAAAAGGACTTGGTGGTGTTGGTCAATGAGAGACTGAACATGAGCTGGCTTCAGTGTGCACTTGCAGCCCAGAAACCCCCTGTACGCTGGGCTGCATCAAAAGCAGCGTGAGCAGCAGGTCAAGGGAGGTGATCCTGCCCCTCTGCTCTGCTCTCCTGAGACCCCACTTGCAGCACTGTGTGCAGTTCTGGTGTCCTCAACATAAGGACATGGAACTGTTGGAGCAAGTCCAGAGGAGGCCACGAGGATGCTCAGGGGCTGGAGCACCTCCTGTATGGAGACAGGCTGAGAACACTGGGGCTGTTCAGCCTGGAGAAGAGAAGCTGCGTGGAGACCTCAGAGCAGCTTCCAGTGTCTCAAGGGGCTACAAGGATGCTGGAGAGGGACTCTTAATCGGGGACTGTAGGGATAGGACAAGGGGTGATGGGTTCAAACTGAAACAGGGCAAGTTCAGGTTAGATCTAAGGCAGAAGCTCTTCCCTGTGAGGGTGCTGAGGTGCTGGCACAGGGTGCCCAGAGAAGCTGTGGCTGCCCCATCCCTGGCAGTGTTCAAGGCCAGGTTGGACAGGGGCTTGGAGCAACCTGGTCTGGTGTGAGGTGTCACTGCCCGTAGCAGGGGGTTGGAACTGGATGATCTTAAGGTCCTTTCCAACCCAAACCATTCTGGGATTTTAAGAAAATCTAGACAAGAAAGTTACTTCAGAAAACAGAGGAATCAACACCTTTGATTACAGTGTTTAAGTTGTAGAACTTATTTAAAATATATACATACATCTTCTGAAACCCCAGCTTTTCCCAGGAATGACATCTTAACACCAAAAAAAAAAATGATATGTGCAAAAGGACTACTTGGTCACTGGAAAGCTGAGGTCTGGGGTTGCGGTACCAAGACTGTGGTGAAGAACAGAAGCCAGGCATTCTCTAAAGAGGAGCTTCACTCTTCATCAATCCCAGTGGCTCTAGCTACACAGCCTGGAAATAATAATTCCAATAGGAGCTTTCCATCTCATAAAGGATCTGCATGAAGGAGTTCCCAGGTTCAATCTACTTCTAAGAAAACAGATTCCTTCTAAGGAAACATCTTTGAGAATAATGTACAAAAGAGGCCAGATATAAGAAAACACAGAAAGATCTATCCTGGAGTTTGTTTCCTGTGCCTTAAGCCTATTTTGCCAAGTACATGCAGTATATGAACATTTCCATCATTGAATTAACACTCCTCTTCCATCAAAAGGGCACTCTCTGAACAGCTTCAGGCCTGTATCACAGCCTACTGTGGCAGTGTGCACATTTCCAGTGATATTCAGCAGTCATTTTGTTTTACAGTAACCACTGGCTTAAAAAGAAATGGACAAGGAGGGCTGGATTCTAGGACAGACAGAGCACATTAAAAATCAATGGAACCTATGCCAGCTTTTAGTGCTAAGATTTAGGAGATATATGCTATGAGAAGTGTCATTTCCTTATTCATGGTTTCATGATGCAAGGAAGTGATTATGACTCTCTAACTGGGTACTTGTGGGTGATTCTTGTACATTTAAGACTATATCAAATACACCTAAATGCCTATTACCCCCTTTAAACAAAGCAGGCAGGTTTGTCAAGCAGTCAGGTCACTCTGTCCTGCCACAAACACACATGCAACGATTTTCAGTAACAAACAGCAGTCTCCAACCTGGGGCAAAGTCCACTGTTGCATAAAGACCCTGAAGAGCTCCACATCTCAAGTGGAAGTGGCTTGCACCATCAGTTGTGAACAGCACCACCTCATCACCAAGATGCTGGCGAAAGAGCTTCAGAAGGGCACGCAGGTAGTCATAGTCACAAGCAAAGTAGCTTCCATACTCATTCTCTACCTGCACAGTGAAAGCAAGTCAGTAAAGCAGCACGCAGTTTCAGCCTGCATCATATATCAACAATGGAAAGCCCAAATCCAACCCTCTTCCTTCTTTGGCACCAATGCTGAAAACATCATTTTAACTCCATGTCTGAGGAGTAACAGACAACAACACTTAGGTTCTCATCTCTCTCATCTGTATCTTACAATGAATCAAGCATTCAGTGGAGGTAAGGCATTTTCCTATAGAATCACCCTCCACATAGAAGTCTCCACTCTAGCTACTTCACAGCAGTGAAGTCTCTATTAAAAAATGGAGAGCACAAGCACAACAGTCAAACCATAGAACAGGTTGTGACATGATCAAAACTGGACTTTCAGAACAGAGGCACCTACAAGGGGCTCACATAAACAGCAATGCCCTGCAATGGATTCAAAGGACTGGAAGAATAAGGACAACCCTGCTACTACTGAGAGGTATGCATCCTGCCCCTTTCCCAAGGGGCTGGATTTTCAAGTTCCAGACCCAATGCTACACACACCTGAAGGTTATTTCTAGAAATCATGTTATAAACATCTTATTTCTGACAAAGAATAACATTGCCAGTGGTTTTGCTCAACAGATGTACTACATTGTTCAAGAACAATGCATAATACATTGTTCAACATCTTGGACATGCTGTAAGAAGGGTCTCCTACCCTTATCCTGTTCCAACCAGGATGTTTAAAGAAATACTATACCAAAGCTTTTGTTATGGTCAAATACTAAGAACACTGAATAATCACCACTGCACATCTAGAAGGAGTTTAAGAGACAAGCTACTCACCATGAACACACTCTACATTTCGAGGCTCTTTTTGTCACAAGTTTTAGCCTTGCTCCATGCTGGTTTTGCTTCTATCTGTATTTCTTATCCTAAGGTAACCTTGCATCCTAAATTATCCCTATTCCCTTTTTCCCTGTCAGAGAATTTCTAGCAATTGTAATGTATTTTGGCTTTATGGCATAAAACTCTGATCTAAAAAGCTCCACAACGTTCCTCTATTGCTTCCTATAGCTGTGGGAAACAACTTTGATAGAGCAGATAAATCCTCTCTGGGTTCTGGAAACAGTGCATTCAGTTCTTTAGGATAAGGGAATTCATCAGAATCTTCGAGCTTCCTGAAACTGTTAAAGAACACATGTGACATTACCCTCCAACACCCATGGAGGGTCTGCAAGAGCAATATAAGCACCCATGCTGCTTGGATTCACTGAATCCTCACAGTTACCTGCACCATGATGACTGGACCTCCATTTTGATAGAGGTGAGGCCTCATCTTTGGCAAAAGGACACCCATCCATTTCTCTACTGCTGCCAGGTAATCTGTGATACACAAAATAGAGATTTCACAGCTTTTCTGCCTTTTTTCTTTTCCTAGTTTTTGTTTTAAATGATATATGTGCAGTTTTTACCTAGTGTTCTAAATACGTAAAGTACAATGGAACAGCATTTAATGAACTGATGTGCTCTTATACCTCTCATACATGGCAACACCCAGTACTGTTAGCTACAAAATAGATGAACTTGGAAAACCACCAGAGGGACTTCAGTATGTCTCTCACAGGTTGTCCTAATACATTTCAACAGCAAAATGCATGCTGCTATGTGTACTCTGCTCTTTAAATAGATAACTTACCCCACCACGAGCAGAACTGAAACCAGATACGATACGTATCTTTGTCCCCTAATACGCACTCTAACAACCTTGTTAATCTCCTATCTCATCTCAATCCCTCCATGGCCTTGAGAACCAGCCCAGTTGGCTGTTGTAAAACCAAAAACCTCACAGCTGAGGGCTACCTGTCTTTTCCTCAGTGGCGACGGTGATTTCTCTCTTGGCACCAGTTTTCATGAAGGCTGTCAATACCTTGGAAACTTCTACCCTACTTTTTTCATTCCATATGCTTCTGACCACACACTTCTGATTCCAAGATGCCCTAAGCTGAAATATGAGTTGCCTAACAATGGCCCCAAACAGTAAGTCACCTTGCTGCTAAAGTGTATTTTTGCTAGTCTTTTTTGATGCCTTTACCTGAATCAGAAGACCTGAGAACAATAGATTTCTTTTCCAACAGCCACGCAGGAAGACCTCCCTGGGAAAAGAAAGGGAATCGCATAAGCGAGCTTTTTCTTTTTCCTTTTAGGAAATGTAAAAAGAATTTTGCCTTTTATCAAAACATACACCTGAAAATTGATTTTCAACAAGTAAGTAACAGCTCCCAATCAAAAAACAAACACAAAGTAAGCTTGTGTTGGAAGAAGTCACGTGTATGCACGGATTTTAATATGCTAAACCAAAAGTCTTGTCCAAGGATATACCAAGTATGTTTGCCTGCTTAAGACAGAAATACTTGCATTAGATTTACTCATGAAATGAGGTAACTGTAACAGAAGGCTGTACCATGTCCCATTCTGCACAGATGTAAGGTCCAGCTCTCAGGATAACCAGCAAACCAGTGTCGTTAGCAAGCTGCAGGAAATACTCTAGATCTCTGTCACCAGAAAAATCATACACGCCCAGCTGGGGTTCGTGGTAGTTCCATGGCACATACCTATGAAGAGAGAAGATCACCTTCCATTAGAAAACTGAGGCTTAAGCAGAACTCTGAATAACTACTGCCTGCACCACACACCTCACATTTGTAATGCTGGCTTGGTCTTCAGATTAGTAAAATACAAGAATAACCCCAAGGCCTTTCTTCTGTGAGGTACTTCAGATGGCAGAAAGTGTTAATACTGAAATAAGGCTTAGTACTTCACAGTATGCCAGCATGAGCAGCAGGCCAAAGGAGGTGATCCTGCCCCTGGCCTGCTCTCATGAGACCCCACTTGCAGCACTGTGCGCAGCTCTGGTGTCCTCAACGTAAGAAGGACATGGAGCTGTTGGAGCAAGTCCAGAGGAGGCCATGAGGATGCTCAGGGCTGGAGCACCTCCTGTATGGAGACAGGCTGAGAACACTGGGGCTGTTCAGCCTGGAGAAGAGAAGCTGTGTGGAGACCTCAGAGCGGCTTCCAGTGTCTGAAGGGGGCTACAAGGATGCTGGAGAGGGACTCTTCATCAGGGACTGCAGCGATAGGACAAGGGGTGATGGGTTCAGACTGAAACAGGGGAAGTTCAGGTTAGATATAACTCAGGTCAGACAGCAACTCATTCACTGAAAAATGCTTCTAGCAGACACCTGCAATTGTTTCAGCTAAATCAGGATGACTAGATATTAACTTCATAACAGTTTCCAGTTTCTCACTACCTAAAAATACTACTACAGAAAGACAGCAACTGCTTATACTCCTTTCTCTTTAAGCTACAAAACAAGTTAGTGGTACAACAACTGTACTAAACAAGTCAGTTTGTACTAACCTTAGTACAAGTTATAACTCGTAAGTTATTACAGGTTAATACAAGAAAAGCATTCTAGTAATTCAACTACACCTTGTAACCTGTTAGTTACAGAAACATAATCATTGGAGAGTTTCATGATCTTGTTCTAGAAACAAGTCTGTGCTTAATAGCGTCCGAGATGAGGATAAAAGGGTTTCTCCAGCTCTGTTATGTTCAAGATAGAAAAGCACAGAATCACAGAATGAACCAGGTTGGGAAAAGCCCTTTAAGCTCACCCAGTCCAACCACTCCCCAGCACTGCCAAGGCCACCACTAACCCATGGCACTGAGGCCTCGTCTCCACGCTGTGTGAACACTTGCAGGGACGGTGACTGCAGCCCTGCCCTGGGCAGCCTGTTCCAATGCCTGAGCACCCTCTGGGGAAGGAATTGTTCCTCAGCTCCATCTAAACCTGCCCTGGTGCAGCTTGAGGCCGTTTCCTCTTGTCCTGTCCCTTGTTCCTTGGGAGCAGGGACTGACCCCACCTCACTACAACCTCCTGTCAGGTACTTCCAGAAATAGTTCTAATTTATGTCCCATGCATTCCCACATGGCCACAAAAATCCCACAGATTTTGGTGGAGAAGGGAAGCAAACGAAGACAAAAACATATGTGAAACGTTTTCTTGCAGAATGAATCACGATATAAATGTATTTTAAACACTGGTCTAAAAATTGTTACTAACACCCTTTCATCCCCCAGTCTATTGTCTACAGCTAGCAACAGCCTCAAACTAAATCATTTTAATTTGAAATTGATATTATTAGCAACTATAATTCCTATGTAACGTTGTACAAATTTACAGGCAGTTGTTAATGCTGTACTGCTTTAGCTACAGAATAATGAATTTACAAAGGAATGCCACAGTCCTTCCACAAACTTGAAACACGGTGTTTCTGTATTTGAGCAGCAGCACTTACTCACCATTTACATACAATTTGTAAGCTTTATCCTATAAACTTCATTTTCTTCGGGTCATTTTCCTCTCTCATTTAATCCTGTACGTATTTAGCCCCATCTAGTGGTTAATTATGTAGCTCCTCCATGCCAAAATACCCACAAACCCCAAACCAACCACGAACTTTCAGTATTTTCCAGATGTCTTTTCATATTCCAGATGTTCAGGAACTGAAAATGAGGAGAGGTACCCTTGTGTGACCGGATGCCTCTGCATGCTACCTGCTGTGGTCAGGACTGGAGCTCCAAGGACAATACTCTTCATCTTCTGGGATGTTACAGCAACGACAACATCAAATTTCAACCTGCTATTTGAAGATTTGGGCCTTGATATATTTATAGCTTTAATGTAAGATCAAGGTTCCTGTTGCCTGTCTACTCATATTCTGTTATTGCTTAAGAAGCACATGGAGCTGTTGGAGCAATTCCGGAGGAGGCCACGAGGATGATCAGGGGCTGGAGCACCTCCTGTATGGAGACAGGCTGAGAACACTGGGGCTGTTCAGCCTGGAGAAGAGAAGCTGCGTGGAGACCTCAGAGCAGCTTCCAGTGTCTGAAGGGGGCTACAATGATGCTGGAGAGGGACTCTTCATCAGGGACTGTAGCGATAGGACAAGGGGTGATGGGTTCAAACTGAAACAGGGGAAGTTCAGGTTAGATCTAAGGCAGAAGTTCTTCCCTGTGAGGGTGCTGAGGCGCTGGCACAGGGTGCCCAGAGAAGCTGTGGCTGCCCCATCTCTGGCAGTGCTCAAGGCCAGGTTGGACACAGGGGCTTGGAGCAACCTGGTCTGGTGTGAGGCATCCCTGTCATGGCAGGGGTTTAGAACTGGATGACCTTAAGCTCCTTTCCAACCTGAACCTTCCTATGATTCTGTGTTTCCTAGTGCAGAGGGTTATGGACATATACTGACTTCAGCCATCCAAGAGTCCCAGATAAGCTGTGTGCTGACTCACACATCAGCTGAATCATGCATCAAGGCATGAGCAGAACAGGAAGGAGAGCAAGTCTGGCATGCCTTCACCACAAGGTATTTAATTTAGGAGCAGGATCCTGTAATAAAAGGATCATGTTTACTTTGAAGTGGTGAAGCCTCACTGGGACCACCTTGATAAGAACAAGGCTCCCATACTTCGGATTACAGCAAGACCTTACCCTGTCTAACAGGAAAAGCCACAAGCAACAAAAGCCACAGCCTTCAGAGGTGGCCCCAAGGCTGGGAGTCCAAGTACCACATTCAGCCAGAAAGTCTGGCAGCGCTGCTGCCCTTTGCACAACAACTTCACCCAAGTGGTATCTCAGTGCCTTGCTAATAGGTTTACTGATCTAGGACATAACAGGAAACAAACACAACTAAATAACCACCTAGACTCATCTCCATTTTTACCAAAACCACACAAAATCACAGGGCAGTTTATGTTTGGGGTAACATGAAACAAACACTGCTTTATCTCAAATAACCCAGAGCAGGAAGGCATGTAAAAACCTGTTACCTGTCACCAGTGATTCAGCAACAACATCTAAAGCCACAGGTCGTGTAACTACAGAGCAACATTTGATAGCTGTATCAGAAACAAACCGCCCAAGACCAATGTACAGCAGGCTGGCAACAGCAACGCAAGGCAGTTTCCTCTCCTTCCTGCACGGTGGAAGGACAGTGATGGGAAACAGTAAAGCACAGAGTAAGAGATCTCAACAGGTGAAAAAAGACAAACTGAAGAAGGAAAACCCACACTTTGTTAGCAGATTATGAAGGAAGAAGGAAGCAAGGGTGGGGGGGGGCACTACTCACAGCCCTGCAGCAACTTTGCTGTTAAACAACAGTGATGGAGTGTACAGGGAGGATCCCAAAAGACCAATGATACAGCAGAAACATGAACAGGCAATTTCAAAGGAAAAAAGAAGGGACTGGTTGAAAAAGCTGGAAGTGAACAGAAGGCACTGAAGATACATGGGATTTGGAAGGAAGAGGAAAATAAATCAGAGACATAAGGGAAATATGAGACACTACAGACCATAAGAGTCACAGAGCCGCTGTCAGGGCCCTGATCTTCCAAGCCAGACATCAAAAAGTATAGTTTTCAAGTCCATTTGAGATTACTTTTATTACAGCAAAAAACAATTACATGGGCAATTTCATGTCCTGAGCAAGTGGGTCAATTCCATTGCTCTTACTTGATGCGAGGGAAAACAGAACTTGCTTTATTAGAAAAAAAGACCCCAGAAACCACCCCAAAACACACCCACCAAACAGTCATTACATCATCACAAGACAGGGAAGAGGGTTAACACATGAAAAAGCCACCCCAACACAGAGAACCCTCAAGGGGAAGGGAAAGATGGTACACGACTTGCCGAGCCAACACTGTCTGGTCTTCCATAGCACACAAGCAGCTCTTTCAAAGAGAAGCATTAAGCCTTGGAATGATTTAGGAGAGAAAAACCAACATGTTTGGGAATTACGCTCATTGCTTGAAAAGACTGTGCCTTACATTTTAGTACTGCTCCTCTTCCCTTGTCAAGGAAGCTTGGCAAATATAAGAGTAAGCTGCATGTTGTCGTTTAATCTGTGCCTCAGCTGCTGTACTAAGTACACAACCAGATAGGAAAGACAAGGAAGAGGTTTGGTACCTGCAAATAAAAGCTGTTTAAACACCTAGTTCCCAACTACTCTTCTAAATTTAAGATCTCCTGGTGAAGCAGCTTTAAATATTACTGCAGCCTTTGCCAGTATTTTCAAGGCTTCAGGGAGATATTAGGCTGTATTCAGATGTTATTGGCTCCTCTCCCCTTTTCTGCCTTCCAGAGACTACAATGCAGAGCACATATATATTGGGTTTGCTGCAGGAGTTGTAACCCCATGGGGAACAAACACGGGAGGAGCTTGCTCCTGAAGGGTGCACCCCATGGAAAGGAATGCACTGGAGCAGTCTGTTCCTGAAGGATGCACCCCATGGAAAGGAATGCACTGGAGCAGTCTGTTCCTGAAGGATGCACCCCATGGAAGGGACCCACACTGGAGCAGTCTGTTCCTGAAGGATGCACCCCATGGAAGGGACCCACACTAGAGCAGTCTGTTCCTGAAGGATGCACCCCATGGAAGGGACCTGCACTGGAGCGGTCTGTTCCTGAAGGATGCACCCCATGGAAGGGACCCACACTGGAACAGTCTGTTCCTGAAGGATGCAGCCCATGGACGGGACCTGCACTGGAACAGTCTGTTCCTGAGGGATGCACCCCATGGAAGGAACCCACACTGGAACAGTCTGTTCCTGAAGGATGCACCCCATGGAAGGGCCCACACTGGAACAGTCTGTTCCTGAAGGATGCACCCCATGGAAGGGACCCACACTGGAGCAGTCTGTTCCTGAAGGTTGTACCCCATGGAAGGGACCCACACTGGAGCAGTCTGTTCCTGAAGGATGCACCCCACGGAAGGGACCCACACTGGAGCAGCCCATGAAGAATTACAGCCACTGGGAAGGACTCAGACTGGAGAAGTTCACGGAGAACTGTCCCTCATGGGAGGGACCCCACACTGGAGCAGAAGAGTGTGAGGAATCCTCCCTGAGGAGGAAGGAGCAGCAGTCATCCTCTACCACCCTTCACTTCTTCAGAGCTTTCTTAAAGCTCTACCTGTGACTTACAACCCAATAAACCACGTAACAATGGCAGCATTCCACTTCACTACTGCTCATAAAAGTCCCAGGACTACAAATCACTTTGAAAGTCAACAGCTACTTACGTTTGAATGGCATCAAGTCCTGCCATCTTCATCTTCAACAGACGGTCTTTCCAATAGTACTGGGGCACCCGGGAGTAGTGAATGCTACCCGAGATGTAACGGAAAGGTCTCCCATCCTTGACAAAGCAGTTGCAGTCATAATCAATCCCAAAACTCCTTGGGGGTATGCTCTGTGTACCAAAAGAGATAATACACACTATAACCTTTTTCTGCATTGAAAGACATGGAGAACAGCCTATGCAACATCTGTAGGATGTCCACAATAGAAGGCACAATAGTGTTGAACTAACTGATGGTGAATGGCTCTCCTCTAGCTACATAAAGCCTTCCTGAGCCTAACACACCAAAGGACTACAGTACATCTGCCAATCACTCAGTACTCTACTACAACCTCTACTATACTAAAATATGCCATATGTATTCTCCACTTTCAGTGGTATATAGTACTACCTCTCTACAGTGATACATTTCACAGTCACACCAGTGCAAAGGATAAGGGAATTACTTAGGAGATTTGGTGAATGCCAGCACTTGCACTGAAGGGGTTAGTTTACCAAACTGCTGGAAAACACAGCCCAAATTCCAACTTCATGCCATGCTCAAGTCTAGGAGCAAAAGGAAGCTGGGAGCTTTTGAGGGACAAATAACCCATTCTAAATGCTCCATGTCTGAAAAACACATTTGAAAGCTTAGCTTCCAGTAAGTATAAGAAGGCTTGATGGATCAGTCTGGCAAAGTGCAGACATGAAAGTAAGTAACCTGGGTAGAAAGTCCTACTTTATATGCCTTCCAGCTGAGCCAAACCAGTGACTTCAAAAAGAAGCAGGTATATTGAATGTAAGAATCTGCACTTTACAGCCACAAAAAAAACCCACCTTCACTTCTCAAAGTATGGGATTACTCCTCAAGTGAGATGAAGATCTTGGTAAGATTCAGATTACTATGACCACAGCAGTACTTCTTTTGCTTTTAAAAAGAAGGGAAACCAGAAGGACTTTTGCTAGGTGCCTGGCCCTGTGTCTTTAAGAACCTTTAACTTTATTATTATTAACTTATTGAAACAAACCTTAACCTCTCACATCTTGAATATGTCTTTGGCATCCCAGTACTACTTCTGACCTCCAGAAACCATGAGTAGTTGGGGTTTTTCATCATGTTTGATGAATTAGCATCAGATTCATTACTGAGCAAGGAAAGATCAGTGGGGATTTACAAAGTAAAATGAGACAGCAAATGTAATCAGTTAGTGCTCTGTATCTATCAGAAAATAAGTCAGAAGTCAGCCAAAGTAACCTCATGATTCACTGGAAGTTAATGTTATACTAGTCCAAGTGAAATACACCTTTCACTAGGTAAATTTAAAGCTATTGAAGGACACTGGCCTTGCTCTTGAAACGATACACCTTGCTCTGTCCCATATGGAAAATAAGGCTTAGCAATTAGGAAATTGCTTGTATGAAATAAAAGCAATGAAATTGAAAAGCAAGGGAAAGGTAGGCCATCATATAACCCCAGGTGATCCCCACTACACGAGAGCATCCGCCACCAGAGGAAACCTGCCCAAAGTTTAAGTAGAGACCCACAGACCACACAGTTTTGAAGAACCTTCCCACGAAACCACTTCTTTCTGTTAAGTGGTGAACTGCTTTGTTACAATAGTGGGTACAACTACAGGAAAAGCAGAGAGAAGGGGATGGAAAAAGTGGAATACAGCAGGCATGTAAAGTTGCAAGCTGCCAGGACAGAAACTCCTGGCCAACAACTGGGTGCAACTGCTAAGAGCATATCCTTAGTGCAACACGACAGCAAAAAGGAGCCAGTGCAGCGTGTCACAGGCCAAAAGAACAAGAATACAAACTACTGGGCACAGTACAAAGAACAAAGCAAGCTCCCTGAGAGCTGGAGGATGAAGCTGCTGAGCAAACATGCCTATCCCTAGAGTGCCGTTGAACAGAGCCATTGAGCGAGATAACGCTCTACAAACACTTGAACACTACAAACTGCAAGGAGGAGGAAGACTACAGTGGGTTGCAACTGTGACAAAGGCATTTCTTCACAGGAAACCTAAAATAAAGCTGTAGAAAATATCTTAAATGCATGTAGCAGCCCAAAGGATTCTGCCCTGCCTACAGTGAGCAAGTGAAATCGCCTGTGTGGTGGATATATAACAGCAGATGTAAGATACAGCCCTAAGCTGGCAGGGAAACAAGAATCCCAGACTGGTTTGGGTTGGAAAGGATCTTAAAGCTCATCCAGTTCCAACCTCTGCCATGGGCAGGGACACCTCACACCAGACCAGGTTGCTCCAAGTCCCATCCAACCTGACCTTGAACACTGCCAGGGATGGGACAACCACAGCTTCTCTGGGCACCCTGTGCCAGTGCCTCAGCACCCTCACAGGGAAAAGCTGCAAGGGACTGGCAAGTACTGCACAACAGAAGGTTCTGAAGCCCTGATCCCACAAACACAGACTCATTTTAATATTAATTAACACAGAGTTCCATGAACATTGAAATAAATCTTTACTGAAAGGCATGGATGCTCCATGTCTCCACAAAATCAGGACCTCACAGAGCTGAGAAATACAAGCCAACTGCTCTGGAGCACCTCAAAGGCTGGGATTCTTCCTGGGAAATTATGCTGTTGTAGTAAGTCCAGACTGTTAAACCTCAAGTAAATCGCCACTGCAGAGGAGGCACAGGTAGGTACCATCTGCTTACTTTCAATTCAAATACATGTGATTGCTGTGCTGACCTTTAATTTATAGCCTGCTTCTTGATTCCTGAGCGTGCCATACTCGGATGGGATTGCACTGTGCATATCCCCAAAGGAAACCATTCACCCTTAGGAACACCAAGCATGGTTTTTATTCTAGGGCACTGCGACAAATCGCAGCATTAGTGCGGAACCAAGAGCTTCAAAATGATCAGGACTAAATGAAACGCACAGCTCAGGTGCAGCAACACAATTCTGCAACGCTATTAAAAGACATAAAGCAGCATTAGGGAAAAAGCACATTGAGAAACCATTATCCTTGGAAATAAAGGAGGAGAGTCAAAAATAAGTTGCTGCTGTTTCCCTCTGAAAGAGGATTTTAGCCCCCTCATTCAGACTAACTACAGAGGCCTATGCAAAAGACACTTTGCTCCATTCATGGCAGGTAACTGTTGGGAGATTATGAACATTGAATCAACATCCTCAGGGGACACACACCTCTGGCAGAGGAATAAGACTTGTCATAAAACTATGAGAAGGTATTAATTATGCTTATCATCACTGAGCCAGTTGCCATTTAGAAGCCACACTTTTAAAGCTGTGACCATAACTGTACACCCCCTTTCTTACACATACACTACCTGCTACAGGGGTGAGGAGAAGGAGGAAGCTTCCAGAACACTTGCTCTGACTCATCTCATTTATTGCCTATTGCAACAAACATCCCTTCATGTGCACTTACTCAACATTCTTTTATTGTCAGTGCATGACTCTAGCCATTGCTTGCAGATCAGGGCTTAAAACCGAACCTGTTCTCATCATGAATCTATGCCTCGCTCTGTTAATGCTGTGTACTCACCCTTATCAATAAGCATGGAATTCATTCCCACTCCTTCTCCCTAGGAGATGGGGTAGCAGGTCTGCTAGTCCGGTAAGCACATGCAACAGACACAAACTCGGTGTGCACTTTAGGATGCCAGGTAATTCGTGCCACATCACATTAACACCCAGCTGAAAATCCAGACCCTTGGAGGCAATGGTATAATGTTGTATCTTACGTGCTCAGAACACACCCGCATGGAAAGAAACTACAGGATTTGTTCTTTCTTAAATCAAACAAGAACTTACTTGTGCAACCTTAATATTCTTTGAACATTTTAGGATGGGCATGTCCCTCACCATAGGGAAAAAATTAATAGCTTCAGCATGCAAAACTATTTAACTCCAAATTTACAAAACAGGGTTTTTTCCTTACTTGGAAAGCAAACAACAGTGGAAGCAAATCTTCAATGAGCCCTTCCACCCAGGAGTATGTCTAGAATCTCTTATGGAGACCATTCAACCATAGAACACCCCTTACTTCATCCTAAAGCTCAAGTATCAAAATTGATAAACACAAACCACTCATTTTCATCTGCTCCTTCCCCAAAAGTCCTCTCATCATCTTTTCTCTGCCCTTGCAGCGTTCCATTTCTCTACATCACATCCTCATCCCTTCAAACTGCACTTCTTCCCCCTAGGAGAGGCATCAGGCAATTTTAAGTGGCCTTACCTTTCCCACTTCCCACCACGCCTCACAGTGCTGGTGCAAGACTCCCCCAAACTACTCACATCTATCATCAGTACCATTCTGTTGGCAAACAGAACTAGTGTGTTAGAACGATTCACCATGAACTGCTACAGTAAATACTGGTACAAAAGAAAAGGTCCTCAGAGGCATCTCTCTTAATAAGCAAATAAAGTTTTATTAAATCCCAACATTTAAAGCATTTGTTATACCACAATTTACATATTTTCAAATCCACTCTATACTGATTATTTAATGTAATAAATATAACTTCCACAGAGTGATGATACTGTTCTATTCTGGTATTATTCTTACAGTGATTAACTTCCTCCCAACCCTTCAACTGGCCTTTTCAGGAAGAAATATATATTCATTTAAGTCCTCCAAATCAAATACATTCCACACACACCAAAGAAAACATCATTACAAACAAAAAAAGCAGCACAGCAATTTTCTTCCCATCTGGAATACTGAACATAGGTCTGCATGGTGAAAAGTCAAATGGGGAAAAGTATGGAGAAAGACTTGAAGGATAATTAGGGATTGCTGTCAGATTTCACAAGAGGTTAATTCCTCTTGCTATCAAAACCAAAGTTGATCTAGAATCCTTTCCACCCATGCTTAAAGAAAAAGGCATATCAGGAAAAGGCTTTGAAGTGTTTTGGCACAGAAAGAAACCATTGGAAGTGATAACCATCAAGGCTTCAGAGGGAGAGACTTAAAAATAACATAGAACTACTAAATTCCACTGGGAGTACTCAATAGATTCGTGAAATGATAATGTGACCACTCCTAAAAGGATGTGCATTGGTCCTGAAAGGATACACGGAAATCTTCTAAGAGAGGCATGGACAAAGTAACAAAGAAGCCACCTATGCACCCCTGTGATGGAAGGCCCACTTCAGCTAGGTTTTTGCACACAGTGGGACAGAGTGTAGAGAGAAGAAACAAGGACAGGGATGAAAAAGAGAAAAATACTAGCAACTCACTGGGAAACTAATACTACCTAAAACCAGTCCCACAAAAGCATCCTGATGAGAAAACTTGCTTAAAAACGTATTCCATCTAATAAATATGGAATTAGTTAAGCTTAACCCTCAGCCTAACAAGTGAAAAGCTATCCTCCTGGACCACTGGCCTAGAGTGAATCCTCTGCACTACTAAGCCCAGAATACTGCTTTTAACTGAAGGCATGGTGATAAGTTAAGAGAGGATTACAGGCTATCAAGATTCTCTCTACATAAAGACTGTTTGACATTACACTACTGATGGGAAAGAACCTCAACTGGATCCCATATGGGTAGTATTAAATACATGTGGAAACTTCAGGATAATTAAGCAGATACTATTGCACAAGCATAAAGAAGTTCATAAAGTTATAGGCGCTGGGGAGCAGTAATTATCTAGTCCAGAAAGTAGGGAGCCTGGCTGATGAGGTGCTCAGTTTTCAATGACTCCTCCAAGTCTTCTACCAACCTTCCAGCACATGACACATTTGCCCTATTTCTCAACATTCCTGTAGTAAAAATGAAAGCTTTTGAAGAGAGGCAGAGGATACAAAACCAGCTTAGCAGCTAGAAACTCTGCCAGGGCAAGGGTGTCTGAAGGCAGTGGACGAAGTGAAACTGAAATGTCGCAGACGGAAAAGCTCAACTTCACTGTGGCACTGCTCAAATACACCCACATTCCTCCTGCAAAAGGGCAACAGGAGCAGAAGAACAAACCAGCAGTGTGTCTGGTTCAGGATCACAAGGAAAGCAGGAAAAGATTGAACACCACCTGGTCATGCCATCCTCAGTCTCCTGTGTAAGAACCAATCTCTTTCGCCACATGCTGCATGGGTCTGCCTGAGAGGAACCCAGGTACTGCTGGGCAGAAGGGCAAAGCAAGGGACATCCTGCAGCTACAGACTTCAGAGGCAGGATTCCCAGACTTGCACTGTTCATGGTTTTCATACAGCAACACCAGGGTTGAAGGGCAGAAGAGAGGAAGATGTGCAGAAGTCAACTGCTTCATCGTCCTGGATGATACACACACATGATGATACACATTACATCCTGGCTTTCTTATATGAAAAGAGAGATAAAAAAGCAAGAATTGCATGGAATTATATGCCCAGAATTATATGGATTTGTGTTAAGCCCTTCTAGGAAACACAGACAGAAAATCTCCATCCCTCATTTTTCTGTAGCAGTTGTTCTGCTATGTGCCTATCAGACAACCAGGACATTGACAGATAAACGCTGCTAAGGAGAAGTCAACTGCTGCAGAGTTCAGTATTCTCAAATAGGGCACCATTTACTTGAAATATTAAAACCTCAAGCAAAATTCAAGCATTAATCCATTTGCATTGTTTTCAAATAGCATCTTCTTACTCTTGTTAAGAGAAAAATCACAGAAGATCAATTGAGCATCAACAAAAAACGTGCAGAATGAAAAGAGACTATTTCAGCTTTGGATTTCTGCTTTACATAGGAGGTCCTGTATGCACAGACAGCAAGAAAAGTTTGGTGATTCCAAGTTTTCTCTCTTATTTGCTTTTATGAGAGCTATTTTCGGCAAGTAATGATCTGATGCCCAGTTATTCTGGGGGAAATGCCTGCAGAAACACAGCTGCTTCACCCTTTGGTATCAGTCTCCCCAAAAATTGGATTTCAAGGACTGATGCATGGCAACTTACAGTACTGATAACACAGACTGGAAGCCCTAGTGCGTGCTGCAGACAGCTAAGAAAATACCCTTAAAACCATTCCCTTCCCAGAACATTCCTAGCAAAAGGCTTCTTGAGTTTACAGACTTTGTGGATACTCTTCAATTCCTTCTGCAAAACATGCACAAATGATTTCGCTGCAAGAGATGAGGACTTCACCTGCCTCAGGCTGGAGAAGGCAGCTCCTGATGGATAACCAACAGTGGAACACGAAGCAGCTGCACGACGCAGATATTGCTGAACATGCACAGGACACATTGTCTCTGTCACATCAGTGCTATCTTTAAATGCAGAACCTCAATAATAGTAATAATAAACACAAAGAATTAATATCCTCAGCATTTTAAAATGCCCCCATTTGTTTTGTAGGCCCAAGATACATTTGGTGTTTTCTGCTCACACTGAACAGAACCTGCTGAAGTCCACCCCAACGTATCTTCTGCAGCTTCCCTGAAACGGGGTGGGCTTCCAGAGCGAAAGAGCCAAGATACTGACCAAAAAGCATGGTCCAAGTCTGTCAAATGGAAAACTCCTCAAGGAGAACGGAGAATTATCTCTGTTATTTCAGCTCTGCTGCCCAGCCTCATGGGTATTCCAAAGTACATCGTCCCCGGGCTGACATACACAAAGGTGTTCTGCCCAACTTTATACAAGCCAACAAAGAACGGATTCAGCAAATAAGCTCCAGCATTTAGTGGGAAAATCTGCCCTCCATGAGTATGGCCAGAGAGAATTAAGTTGATGTCTGGTCTCTCCCGAAGGGCCCACTTGGCAGCAACAGGCTGATGAGCTAACAGCACTATCGCATGCTCACTGCTACAGCCTTCCAGGGCTTGCTTTAAATCCATGCCATGTCCCGAGTAGTGCAAGGCATCTGCTTCAATATCATCAACACCAGCCAGACAGAACCAGTCCTTGGTGCTCTGTGGGGAAACAATCTTCACATTCTCATTATGCAGCGGCCGAATGTTGAATGATTTTAACAGCTCAAACCAGTTGCTAACATCTGAGGTGTAGTACTCATGGTTTCCTGTGACAAAGTAAGTCCCCAGAGGGGAGGCAAGTTCTCCAAGAGGTTCAACAGCAGGTCGGAGGATCTCTGCCTCAGAGTCAGTCAGGTCCCCAACAATCACAGTGATATCTGGTTTTAAAGCCTTAACCATCCTCACAATCATGGCAAGCTTGGTCTTCCCAACTGTAGGCCCCAGATGGATATCTGAAAGCAACACCACTTTCAGGTTATTCATGGCTGAGGACAGCTTGTGAACTGGAACTTCCACCGAATTCACAGCAGGAGGCTGGGAGGCATTTAGCAGCCCCACAACAGTCAGCACAACAGTCAGCAGCACTGCCAAGACTGGTTTCATCACTGGTCTGTTCTTGTGGCCAGTGCCTGCCTTAGCCCCTTTCCCAGCCAACAACTTGTAAGCCTGCTCTACAGAGCCTAGAGTGAAAAGGAAGAACATCAGAATGATATAGGCCCCCAGGCAAGTGTAGGCAGCTAAAGAAAAGAAATAGGGCTCTTCTGCAACAAGAAACAGCATCGTGAAGAAGCTTGAGTGTGCCAGAGCCAGAAACATGAACACAGCTATTTTCCAGGGCATGAAACAGAACGAGCTGGCAAACGAAGCCCTGGAGAATGTGGTAACTACACTTCTCCACACGTGAAGAGATCCTATCAACATAAGTGCATTAGCAAACAGTGCCATCTGCAGCCTCAGGAGCCAGCGCCGCATCCTGAGGTCGAGCTTTTCTGACAGGTAACTCCGCGACAGCATCATGGAGAGGAAAACCACTCCTGCAGCCACTGCAGCCTTTGCTTCAAGGGATGCTTGCTTGAAGGACATCATTTTGGCTTCCCAACCGGTCCCTTTTGTTCTGCAGGAGTCTCCAGTAGGCAATAATGTGGTTATGAAGGGATGCCTTGGGTCAACGAAGCCTGCAACCAGGAACCAGTATCAGCCCATTTAAAACAGCACAGACATTCCCTTTTTCCCAGCCTGCAATGAAGGACTGTTACTCTGTACATGCTACAAGAGACTGGGTCATGCAGAATCGCTATCATAGAGACAGAGAGGAGGCTTCCTGATGTGGAATAAATCAGGCAACTGAAAACACTGGATTCTGGCAGTCCCCTTTCAAGCTCTCTGCCTGCCTCCCTCAATTACTCCTTCCACCCCCTTTTACTTTTTAATACACTCTTTCCTCATTAAGACTTCCTTATAGTAGATGGCAGCAGATCACAGCAGTGATGCAACAAGTCTGTGAACAATCATCACACTGTTTGTCAGCCTCACACATGTTCTGGGACTAAGATGCTCTGCTGTTAACTTCACACACACAATTTTCTGCTCTGCCCAAGCAGCCGGCTCCATCTCGAAAGCAGGTCTCACCCCACATCATCCTCACTGAATGCAAGGCATTTTACTAACACCTGCTGCAGCAGCAGTGAAATCCCCACTGGAACAGCACCAGATGCAATTGTGGGACCAGAAAATCTAGGAGATGCATCATCCACAGGTATCTTTGCCTTCAGCTGTGAATAACACCTCCCCAAAGCCCTCAGAATCAGTAGGGCCAGCGAAACCACACTGTGCTTGGCTACTCACCTCCTGCTCACTTCCACTACATGTACAACTCCTAAGGCTCAACAGCTACTCACACATATCCTGGTCTAACAGATGCAACTATGATGAAAAGGGACTAAAACATCACACACTGCTCCTGCAGAAGTAAAGGGAGCACTAAGTGTAACACATCACTGATTCAGACTGAAAGTAAGCAAGCAAGCACCAGTTAGGTTTGAATCCCACCGTAATTCCCTGTTTGCCCTGTATTTTGCACAGAGTTCATAGGGCTTCTGCTAAAGTTTGCACATTTCTGGTTAAAATAAACCTACTGGTCTTTCATAATACAGAGTAGAGAGAAAGCTGAGATGACAAAGTGCCTTATTTAAAGCCATGCAGCAGCATATACACGCTTTCAAAACCCTTCCTCTCTCTCAGCCCACACTTGACTAGAGAAAGAGAAAGCAATCTTAACAGCCAGAAATACCTCAGAATTAGGGCACAAAAGCAGGCTTGTGGTGCCCTGCAGCAAGCTTGAGCCCCTTAGTCTACAAATCCAGTTTGCCAGGTTGCTTACCTGCAGCACATACTTCCCCACGCTCATTTCAAAGCGCATCAGCACCTCCGTGATGACAGGACCCTGCTGTATTTTGAGAACTAGACCAAGTTTTAACGAGCCCCCTTCCCTCAGTGCTTGCTCAGGGAGCCGTGGGTCGACAGTGAACCATCAGCCCTCGCAGCTGGTACAAAACTACTCTATTTTACACACATGCCTCTGCAGCAAATGAGCGGAGTCAGGAAGATCAGAGCATAAGAAATGCCTTACTGGTTTGAGCCCACAGCTCCTTGACACACCAGGCCACATTCTGTCTGGACAACAGCAATAAGAAATGCTGTTTAAGGGAACAGCCTGACCCCGGCCACTGTCTGTGGCTGCTCTCCTCACGCTCCAGCTGACAGAGCTCCTGCATCAGGGATGCTGGAAGGCAAATCCTTGCCTGGGCCTTTTTGGATTGTTTTGTTGATTAACCCAATGTATTTTAATTTGGCTAATCCTCATTTGGGACCTGTTAAACCCTGCCTGCTTCTACAACCTCCCGCTGCAGCAAATCCTTGGAACAGTTTGGGTTGGAAGGGACCTTCAAAGCTCATCCAGTCCAACCCCCTGCAATGAGCAGGGACATCTTCAACCAGATCAGGTTGCCCAGAACCACATCCAGCCTGGCCCGGGATGTCCCCAGGGATGGTTCATCCACCGCCTCTCTGGGCAACCCGTGCCTTACCCAGCTGCAGCGCCTGCTACGGGAACATCAACGCCGGGTTTCAAGCTCCAGCCACAAGGCTCCCATAGCCGATACAGCGACACAGGACGTGCCCGGGCACCCACTGCACGCACCGCAGCAGCAGAGCGGCTGCGGACCTTGGGCAGCTCCGGCCAGGCGCCTCTCCCTGCACACACCACACCAGAGCAAGCTTCCCCTGCGATGCGCTCCCCAACTCCGGTATCCCCGCCGCGGTGCAAAGGCCGCACCGCCCGCCCCTCCTCAGCGAGGTCCCGGCGCGGCCCAGGCCTCACGGGACAAGGCCCGGGTTATCACCACCCGCAACCACCGGAGCTGGTTAACGCGAAACGGACCGAATTCATCACCCCCACCCGCGGGCAGACATGCCCGCCCCGCAACCCCCGCGGAGCCCAGGGCCGCCCCGAACCCCCGGAGGAAGCGGCAAGGGACTCACCGCGGCGCGGAGGATGGCCGCCAGCCCGGCCAAGGGGAGCAGCAGCCGCAGCATGGCGGCCGGCGGTGGGCAGACGGGAACCGGCCGCTCCTCAGCCCAGCGCCCCGGGACGAGGCGGTGTCGGCGGAGGGGAACGACTGCTCCGTCAGGCCCCGCTCCGCCCCGACGAGGCCTGCTCCGCCCCGCTCCCAGCTGGCCCTGCCCCGGTTGTCAGCCATGGGGCAAAGCCCAGATCCGGGAGCTTTCGAGGCTGAAATTGTGTGATTTATAGCTCGGTAGGAGCACGCTTTTGATTTGCAAAGCGTTTGCAGGTGTCTCGGGTGGGAATGATGTTCTGCAGGGGCACCTTGGCCCTGCTTGAAGGTGAGAGGGAGCAGTTCCTGCTTGTCAGGAGTAACCCAGGTGCTTTGCTTTTACCTCGCCTTGGGGAAACGAGGAGCAGCTGAGCGGACCTGCCATGGGCAGGCTTGTCTCGAGTGTTCTGAGCTATAGAAAGTTCCTAGATAATGGGATTTGCTTGTGTGTGAGAGGCACCGACCTCACCGAGCGCAAACATGCGCCTCGTAGAGGACATGGAGTCTTAGGTGATGTGGGTTTAGTGCGAGGTGTCCTTGCCCATGGCAGGGGGTTGGAACTGGGTGATCTTAAGGTGCTTTCCAACCCAAACCAGTCTGGGATCCTATGGCATTGGATCACAGCCACACACATTGCAGCTGAGGGGCTGCTGAGCCTGTTTGGACAGAGAAGGGTGAATGTCCTCCGTTTACCCTGGTAGAGGAAAGCAAGTATGTTAAGAGATAGATCTAGTGCAATCACAGAGGAGTTTTCACTGTGACAAAAGGAAACCTCTTGGTCAGCCTCAGCAGAGGGCGTAACCCCCAGTTCTGTTCCATTTCTGCAGAATCTGATGGTTTAAGCACATGGAGCTGTGTGTGCCCCTGCCATTAGCACACACACTGAATGAGGAGCTTAAAAGTCAACCCCAAATTGGGCTCAAAAGTGAGTATGTGGAAGGTAAATGAAGACACAGAAGAGATGCTGGTAGTTGTCATTTTCCCACTTAAAGCAAACCAAAAAGAAGTGTTACACGTGCAAGTTCTCTTGGTGAGCAAACAGAGATGCTTAGTTTTGTAATGACATGAGCTGGAGGGAAGTGACAAGTTATTTCACGATCCAGGTGGGTATTGCAAGAACTGAGCCCATTGTCTCTGCTTTGGTTTGAAATGAATTACCTGGGGACAGCCCTGAGCAAGGATGCAAATAGGGAACCAATTTGGCAAGAGGATTTGTAAGGTTCACCCTGTTCTCCTCCTTGTGTTCCCACCAATGGGGTAAAAATGATGGTGGCATCAACTGCAGTCACTGAATAAGTGGGACGTGGCAGAAAAAGCACAAACAGGATGAGCAGCTGCCCATGTTCTGCTCTGGAGACTCTTAAGACAGTGGAAGTGTCTCTGTGCCATGGGTAGCTTAAGTTACATTTATTACTTTGCTTCTAGGGATAATTAAGCTAAGCCTAATGAAAGTCACTGAAATACAGAATGTGAAGGCTCAGATTCATGAAGGAGAGGCCAAAAGACATGAAGATCCTTTGCACGAGAGGCTTTACCCATGGGCATGCTTTTACCATACTGCAGTTAATGCAGCTCTCCCAACGAGGAATGACTGCATTACACTGAGGGCCAAACTAGCTGGAATTAGGGGTATTTCCATGGATCCACTGGCAGGCAGCCATGTGCCATGCACTGTACAGAGGTACTGGCACATACAAGCCTACACCCGCTGCAGGAGGAGTTTCAGCATGACAACTGGTTATTGAGGGTACAGAGACACCTTAGCGGCGATTTTGCAGTTGAGCACCAGAGCTTCTTCCCCTTGTGCACACTGAAGCTGCTCATGTTCAGTTTCTCATCAACCAACACCCCCAAGTCTTTCTCCTCAGGCTGCTCTGAATCTCTTCTCTGCCCAACCTGTAGCTGTGCCTGAAAAATCAGCAGAAAAATGATGGTTGTGAGAGGTCTTCCCTTTGCTATTGAAAAGAGAACACTGTGTTTGAGCCACCTAAACCATGCAGAGAAAACAGCCTGTAACAGGTCTTATTGGGCTGGGGTCTCGGGAGGGAGCACACACCCACCTCAGCCCACATAAACCTCAAAGTGATGTGACTGCTGGCTGTGATGATGAAAACAGCTAAATAATTAGAACCCAGACATCAGTTTCTGCGGCGTTGGTTTGTCTCCCAGCCAGAAGCATTTCAAAAGGTTGAGGTTTTACATTAAAAGAAGACAGCACAAAGTCACAGCTGTACTTCAGAGCTGTTTCAGATCAGTTGTTTTCCCTGCGTCTTTCCTCTCCAGGTCACGGAGCCTCCTTCAAGACTGAGTGAAGCTCTGGGTGAAGATGGCTGCTGCAAGTGGAGTGAGTATACAGCTACAATGCTGTGTTATCTCCTTTTTACTTTCCCCTCTCTTTGCCCCCATCAGTTTTCTGCCTCTCTTGAGCCACTGATGCTGTCCCACAAAAAGCCTCTTACCTCTTTCAAAGGGGGGGATTTTGCATTTTATTCTGTATTTGAAGCTGCTGAGCCAACAGTGATTTGAATAGTCTGACAGAGATCTCCCCACCTGCCATTTTAATAGCTGAAGTGGGCAGGAGGTGGTGAACTGCTCCTTCATAAAGACTTTGTTACTCAACAGGTCATTTTTATACGTCTCTGCCATGCCGCACACTTCAAGCGGTCTGAAACGTGCTGTGTTTCACCAGCAGCCTTTGCTCTTTCCCATCTGAAATGGAACATATTGGGGATCTTCAACTGCACTTGGTGGAGAGAGGCAAATTTGTGCTTTACTGAGCCACCTCTCAACACAAATTTGCCTCATGTCTCACTGCAGGTCACCCACCCTGGCAAGACCAACCTGGAATACTACAGGAACGACAGCACAGAGCTGTCCCTGTATGGAATCCCAGTGAACAACATGGACTTTATGTGTGACATGAGGCAGGTCAGGCAGTTTGCTCGAGCCTTCCTGCCTGTGTTCTTCGGGCTCATCTTCTCTGTGGGCATTGTGGGAAATGCCTTGGTCCTGCTCATGTATTGCAAACACTGCTTCAGGAGGAGCATGATGGATCAGTACCTGCTTCACTTGGCCATTGCAGACCTGCTCCTCCTCTTCACCCTCCCCTTCTGGGCCAAGGCTGCCTCCGATGGCTGGATCTTCAAGAACCTCATGTGCAAAGTTGTCAACAGTATGTATAAGATCAACTTCTGCAGCTTATTTCTAACCTGCATCAGCTTGGACAGGTACAACACTATTGTCCAGGTGACGAAAACTAACGCCTCTAAGCGAAGGCAGCTCCTGCGCAGCAAAGTGATGCGCTGGGCTGTCTGGCTGACATCCGTGAGCCTGTGCATCCCAGAAATCATGTACAGCCAAAGCATGCAGGTGGGTGACATAACAGTTTGCAAAATCACATATCCACCAACCAGCAGCATGAATTTCAGAGTTACTCTCCTAGCCTTGAAAGTCACATTCGGATTCTTCCTCACGCTCCTTGTCATGATTATTTGTTACACCCTTATCATCAACACCCCCCTGCAAGCCAAAAGATCCCACAAGCAGAAGTCACTGAAGATCATCACCATGATCATCACCGCTTTCCTCCTCTCCCAGTTCCCGTACAACATTGTTTTGCTGGTCAAAGCCATCAGCACCTGTGCCAGGGCGAAACAGAGCTGTGATGCTGCCGGGCGGCTGGACATCGCGCTGCAGGTCACCCAGAGCATCGCCTTCCTCCACAGCTGCCTCAACCCCTTTCTCTACGCCTTTGCTGGTGAGCGGTTCAGGACAGCCCTGGGCAGGGCAATGCTGAGTGGTGGCTTCTGCTGGAGCAGGGGCCAAGACCAGTGCTCCTCTGCCTGCAACAGCCATGAGCACAGCTCACACTGGTCCTTTGCCGTGCTGGGGAAGCGGCGGGTGAGGAGCTCCTTCACTCTCAAGCGCACACTTAATCATAGAGTCATAGAATCAGCCAGGCTGGAAAACACCTTTAAGATCATCAAGTCCAACCACTGACCTCCTCTATTCTGGCCCCTCCATGCCAAGTCTTCTTGTAAGTTAGTGTTTGTCTCTGCCCTGCTCCAGAGGAGCACCAGACTCCTTGGAAACTGTATATCCCAAAGACTCTCCTAGAGGAGTGGGGAGGGCTGGGAGCTGCTTGCATGCCCCATCCTTGCTGCATGGGATCCAGCTGGGGCTCGCTGGCTTGAAAGGAAGGGAAACCTTCAGCACAGGGCAGCTAAATGGAGCCATAGTCGTAAGCAGAACTGATAGAGAACAAAAGCCGTCTCTGAGGCAGCTCTAAATACCTGTCCCATCTGCAGCTCAGACCACAGCCTGACAGAACAAGCCTTGCAGGGAGGCGGTAAACCAGCTACAGCAGCAACGGAGGCAGAGGAAGCAGCAGGAGGAGGAATCAGCCTTCATTTGCTGTCTACCCAGTTTCCTATGGGGAGCCTGCCTGCTCCTACACCAGCTCCTCTCCCCTCTAATGGAGGGCAGCCTTTAGCTCCTCGGTTTACTGCACTAGAAAGTGCTGCTCTCTGTGGCTGTGCCTGTGCAGGTGATTCTTCTTGCAAAGAAAGGGCAATAGTTTGTGTTTATCAAGTGGCTGATGCAGAAGTAGTTCTATACTTTAGCTGTGTGATGTCAGGTGAAATTGGGTACAATTTATTTGCTACAGTTCCTTATTTTGATACTGGAAACAAATCACACCTCACAATAAAAATTCAAGATCATCAGGGACACTAAGTTATATTTGCCATGTGGGGAGAGCCATAGTAAGCCAGAAAGCAAACCCAAGCCTGTGGGTCAACAAAGTGCAGGCTATTCACTAGTATCTTTGCTAATGGTGAGAAAAATACATTTAGCCTGGGGCCAGTAAAACAGAGATTAAGTATTAATGAAATCTAGATTGAAACTCCAGGTTGGTGAAGGCAGGGGCTCCCCAAAGCAGTGTGCTCTAATGCACCCCACAACTTCTATGGGGCTTTTGGTGTGCCAGGGTCGGTGCCCATGGCCATCCCCTGCCTGTCCTGCACCTCCCAGTCTTCAACTGCAAGTTATAGTGCCCAGAGGCTTTGTTTTAAGCAGCCACATTGAAATTGTTTTGCTTCCTGGTCATCGTTTCTTGCATTATTGGTCACTATTTCTTGGTCATTATTATTTCTTGCAGGTAGAAGGTGTTTTCATTGTGCATTGGTCACTAAAGCAGGTTGATGAACACAAGTTTCTGCACCGTTTGGTGCTGCTTTTCCAGCTGACAGATGGGGTTCTAGTTTCATATGTGTTTATTAAGATTTTGTGAGCTTTTGTAACTTTTCCTTAGGGAAAAAAACAATGGTGAAAGATGGATGTGAGTTTTTACTACATCTGTAAGAAGGATGTGGGGGGGAGAGGGAGGTTGCAATTTGCATTAAGCTCAAATGCAAACGGAAGCTGAAATTCTGTCAAATAAAGGCACTGCCCACGTATGCTGAGAGGATGAACTGGTTGTTGCTTCCCCCATGTCCTTCCCAGGCTGGAATCCTGTTTCCAGTGACAGGACTTGCCCTTCCCAGACCAGGCAAAAGGAAACCTTTGCTAACAGGGTTTACTTCACCCTTGGGATGCGAGACCTCAGCCAAGCACCCCAGAGCAGGTTTTGGCTCCTGAGGCGAGGGGTAGGTGCAGTTTCAGGAAGGAGGGCAGGTTTCCAAGGCCAGGGGAGGAAGGAAAATGCTTCCCTGTGGCAGCTGAGCCCCACCAGCCCTTTCAGGGGTGAGCATGAGGATGCTCCTACACAGAGGGTCCTCCCAGCCCCAGAAGAGCCCTTGAGTCATGCAAAAGAACAGGCACCAAATTGCTGCTGACCTGTGGTCCTGCTCTGCAGTCTTGAGGCTCCTCATCCCTGCACAGCCTCTCCCCAGCCCCAGGAGCCTGAATTCTGGGGCCTTCTCAGAGCAGGTAAAAGCATCTTTGCTCTACAAGCCTCCCAAGGGTGTCCCCAGCCTTCAGCTGATGCTCTCTCCCTGAAGGGGAGGTTTCCCCAAGGGTGAGGGGTATTGTGGCCTCTCACATGTCCCATGGGACACTGTGCCTTACCCACAGCTCCAGCAGGATGGCCACCTGAGCAGCTGATGGAACACTGGAGAAGTCTGGGCTCTTCCACAGCTCCCTTCCCCTCTCTTTAAGGACATTCTCACCCAGATGTTCCTAGTTTTGGGCTGCAGCCTCCTCTGCTGTCCATTTTCTGAAGGAGAAGATAAAAAAGCTTGGCTTTTCTATGCCTTAAGCATTGCATCATCACCCTGAGAGCCTTCACTTTAACTCCTCATCGCCATAGAATCATAGACTCATAGACTGGTTTGGGTTGGAAAGGACCTTATGGTCATCCAGTTCCAAACCCCTGACATGGGCAGTGGCACCTCACACAAAACCAGGTTGCTCCAAGCTTCGTCCAACCTGGCCCTGAACACTGCCAGGGATGGGACAACCACAGCTTCTCTGGGCATCCTGTGCCAGTGCCTCAGCACCCTCACAGGGAAGAACTTTGCCGGTGGCTCTGAGCCAGCAGCACACAGTGGTATTTCCTCTATCTTGGGGTCCAGCTCACGCAGCACTGATTTATGGGTCTATTGTTACTCTGTTTTGCTGTACAGATGTGGCCCTTCTCCACCAGCATCACAAACTGGTTCCTATTTTCCTTATCTTGTGAGAATTCTTTCTTGCTCAGAAGCAGAATCATACAATCACCTGATGGATCCTCCAGGCAGAGCTTTCCCTACAAGACAGAAAAGGGACACATGTTCTCAGTGATAGAGAGTTTTATTTAATTCCTGAGGTTAAAAAAGGAGGAAAAAAGCATCAAGAAACATCCCAGTACACAACCGTCTACATCTCTGTAACTGTACAGACGCTGGGACACGTAAATCCCTCTTTCCCCTATCTGAAGCATGAAGTTTGATGTGAAAAGGGTTTGCAATTCTTTGGCAGTTAAGACCAAAAGATGCTTCTGAACAAGTTACAATCTCAGTGACTGAGCACAGCTAAAACTATAGTGCAATTTTCATTTTCAGTAAGGAGCAAAGACAGGCTTTTGTAGCTTTGCTGTCTTGTAACACGGTGCACTCTGGTGCAATACACCTCTGTGGTTTGTCATAAAGCAACATGGAGTAACGCTGAGTAAAGGAACACTGTCATTTCTTATAGCAACTGCATTCTTTCCTTCACATAAACCTCTGCATAACAACAAATACTATCCACCATTGCTCCAGCACCCAGGAAAAACCTCAATTGCTTCTGCTGACCTCTTTGTCACATGAATGCGACATCCCCTTCAACTCATTTCATCATCAGTTTTAAAAGGGCTTGACTGTTTGCTCTGCACATCCCCTGAGGTGGAAAAGGTTCCTTCTTCCAACTGACAGGATGAGATTCCTGTTCTTGAATAGTTGCTTGGAGCAGTTGCACTCCAGCCCACTTGTGGTACGTTACCAGCCAGTGTATTTAATCTTTTTTCTCCCTCTTAAATACTCTCCTTGGTTAAAAGCAAACTTCTCATCTTTAAAGTACAGGTTCTGGCTCCTTCTCTTAGTGTCCGCTTTCAGAGAGCAGTAAAGCCCCATAAAACTACTCTCATGGGGCAGGAAAACCTGAAGAAAAGGTACCCTAACGACACAAATGCTAACTAAAACCAATCCAGTGTTTTTGTTCCCCTCCTCACTGCTTCAGCCAGCCTCAGGACTGATTACATGGAAGGCTTGCAGGGAAACACCTGCCTTACTAGATGGAGGCAACTACTTGAAGAGCTAATAACCTTTAAAATACTTAATAATACTTAAAATATACTTAAAACAATTAAAAATACTTGCCAGAGGATGAAAAATGTTAAGAACTGGGATGCAGAGAGGAAATCAAGAGGCAAATCTGTCAAAGAACTTTGAATGGAGACATCTCAAATACTTCTGAGCAGAGATGTATGTCCTGTTTTGGCCTAAGATACTTGACAGTGTCCCTTTACCTTACATTTGGCATTTTAAGAAAGATATCCTAGTAAGATTAGTATTCTAGCTAAACCAACAGCAAAATGCTTTTAAAAAAACACACCTGAAAGCTTAAAGGAAAACTTGAGGAGCAGCTCAGTGAAGCTGCAGAGCATATGGTACACATTTTTAAGCAATAAATAATCTTTTCTTGTCTGATTAAATATAAAACATAGCTTCAACACTGAAATCTGCCATAACTCACCAACCGATCTGTGTGCCCGTTATTGCCTGTTTATTGCCCACTTCAGTCTCTTGTCCATCTCACTGCCATGCATACAGCCAGGTCAGGGTTCAACTGCATTGCAGCCTGTGCCCTCAGGAGGGGAGTAAACCAGTTTGCACCTTCTACTGGTGCCTGGTGGAGGCTGGGAGCACGCCACCAATTCTGGGAAGAGGCATCTGAAGGGAAGGCTATTGATGAGCTGGATGAAGCAGACACCTAAATCTAGGTGCTCCAGGAAACGGAGCCATCCTTTCACTGTGTTTTCCAACATCACTGGATTTATGCATTGTTACCAACTGGAATGAATGATCAGCAACCTTCAGCTTCACCTGCAGTATTCTTTCCTTTCCTATAATCAGAATTTCCCTCTACCTTGGCTGCTGCTATGTAAATAGAATCACAGAATCGACTTGGTTGGAAAAGACCTTTAGGATCATCAAGTCCAACCACTGAATCTCCAACACTTACCCTGTGAACTCCGCCTTTTAAACAACCAGCCTTTTGGTGTAGGAGATCCCTACAGGTAATGGATCAGACCTGCAACACAAAACACCAGCTGGACTCTCCTGGCTACCTTCCCTAGTCGAGCTGATCCCTCCAAATCCCTTCCCTTGTTTTTGCACTTAACAAGATTTGCCCCTTTCCCCTCCCCTAAATCATATGCTTCAGCTTGTGCTGTTCTTTCCCCTCATGGTTTATTTGCTGTCTCCCACCATGACCCCTTGTATACCAGCCACCAAGAGTCTACAGGGCTCCTGGCAGGCTGTGTTGGCCTTCTACTAAATGCTGTGCTAAAACCTTCCAGGTTTGAGGTTTCCCTGGGAGAACAACATCATAAGAAATCAAACACACCTAAAATGATGAGGAGGGCTGGTCAGGAGAAAGAGCTTTTCTTCTTTCTCCTGTCAAATGTTTTGCCTTTCCATTAGAAGACAGGATTTTTAAAGAGAAAAAACCCTCATTTTAGATATCTTGAAAAAAGTTGAAATTCTGTATAGACAGCAGATGGTTTGCATGGAAATGTTGTATAAATGAGAACCCAGCCTGCCCTAAAGGGCAGGACTGAGAGCCAGCTTTATCCCCAAATCTGAGACAAACTTAGCAGCTGGCTAGGGCAAGTGCAAGGGGTAGGAAGGGACAGAATACACCAGCACTGGGTGAAGAGCTCATGGGGCTGGATATGCATTTGGATTTAGATGGATGTTTTGAGACTGATTCAGACATTATTGCTACGTTCCACGTGTTCCAGACTGAGAGAGAGAGACACTGCTGACCCCCTCAGAAACTGTGCTTCCCTGTGAATGCTGATGACTAAGGTGCTAAAGCAGGAAAAGGGAATGCTCCCTTTCCTAATACCACAGTGAGCAGTGCTTCATTCTACAAATGACACTCCTGATTCTGCTGCTGGTACTCACCATAAGCACTGGTTTCAGTGCACCAGCTTACAGACACTGGTGAGAAAAAGTGAAAGGAGTTGCTGCTTCCTGTTGTGTTGTTTTGTAACTGGCATTCAGTACCACAGCATTTTTAAAAGCCAGGTAAGACTTACCAAATCTTATCCCAAAATGTAAGAATCCCCTATGTTTGCTGTTTATAAACTCTGGAAAAGATAAAATCTTCCAGATGGATTACTCTATATGCCTGTGAAGATTGAAGCATTGCATACTTGCTGTTCTGACTGCAGGAGCAGCAGAGCAGAACATAAGTGGTTATATTTACTCCTCAGTGAAGAGGTCAACAAAAATACACTTCTTTTTTTCTTAAATTTCCTTTTGAAGGAGATTTTTGGAAGGAATCAAAATTTCACTTTGCATTAACACTCCCCCACACTTATTTTTCTCTGCACTGAAACTGATTCTCGACCTGTTAAATCAAAGAACATGGCTTTTCAGCAATCTGTACACAGTACAGAACCATTAGTGTTCCTAAAAAGGCTTCCATTTTTAGTGTATACACATTCTCTAAGTGCATTATAACTATTGCATAGTTTCAAAGTCTTCAAATACAGTGGTAATCATAATGCTTCTGTGTACATAAATAAGATCATTTCTTAAAAAATTAATTTAAAATAACACAGTATAAGTCAAGGCTATGGAAGATCACTTCCATCATAGATGACAGGTCGCTCGACAGCCAAGTGATAGAACACTCTCTTTGAGATAAACCTGTCAAGGAAAAAAGAGAGAAAGATAATCACATTAGCTGAAGACAATTAGACAGGAAGCCTGGATTGCAGGCTTTCAGCTCATACTCAGTCAAAACACTGACTGTTGTTAACAAAAGAATGCCTGTGCAACAGCTGCCAGGGCTGTTGTTAATATAAGATGACAATCCTGACTAAACTGTCTTGGAAGTAGTCACAAGTGACTGGCTTACTTCTGTTTACCTTCCCAGATGTTGAGACAGAAAGGTGGAATTCTGGTGAGGTGAAGTTTAAAACCAAAACAAGAACAAGAACCAAAACTCAGGCTGAAGATATTCTGGCAGGCTGGGACCAATTCCTTATCCTTACTTCTGAATGGCAGAATACTGGTACATCTGATCACAGAATCACAGAATGGTTTGGGTTGGAAGGGACCTTCAGAGCTCATCCAGTCCAGCATCCTGCAATGAGCAGGGACATCTTCAACCAGATCAGGTTGCCCAGAACCACATCCAGCCTGGCCTGGGATGTCTCCAGGGATGGTTCATCCACTGCCTCTCTGCGCAGCCTGTGCCAGGGTTTTACCACTCTTATTGTAAGGAGTTTCTTCCTCACATCCAGCCTGCCCTGGCTTTGAGTTACAGCAGTGATCTCACAAAGAGATCTTCTCAGACCGTGACCATGATGGACAGAGTACCCCTCATGACCATGGTCAGTTCCACAGTCTGTAAAACTAACTTTTCCAGCCAGCTAGGACCTACCTAGAGAATGTGTTGTCAAATATCAGTGTGTAGATTCCAGAGTTTCTGACTTTCACCTGTCCTCTAATAGTTTCCTTATGAGAGTTGCAGCGGGTCATAGGAATAAGAACCTGGAATTCAATACAAATTGAAATGAAACTTGCCATTTGCCCTATAAATTGACATTTGCCTTCATATTCAGACTTAAGCTATCTTGAAGCTCTCAAAGTCCTTCTGTGCCTGCAAGACTACTTATTTTCACTGATTAGCATTAAAAATTCACCCAAACTAACACCTCACATTGAGACATCTGCTTTCCTTTAATAACCTGTTTACAGCATTAAACCATGGCTATAAATCTCTGCTTTAGAGACAGAGTCAAACCCGCATCTTTTTAATGTTAATCTAAGTAAGTTTACTAACATCAGCAATGATCCATTAAATATATCCAAGAGCATGATTTAGCTAAGTATGTCTCGTAATACCTGCTTTTATACTCCCAGCATTATAAAATAAGCTTTCTCAGCAGATCTGAATTGTTTATCTAAGCTGACAGCAAAAGTATGTGTTACCATCTATCTTGCTGTAAAACCCTACCAGAGACAGTTGTCAGAACAGCAAGTGACACAGATCAAAGACAAGCCTATAAACCCCAAAGTTGTATCAAACAGATGTACCAAAAAGCAATATTCACTTTTCCTTCAGCTTTCAGGTTAAGGAAAAAAAAAAAAAAAAAGAAACCATGGAGGGAATTAACGCATACTGTAAATGTCGTCTTGCCCCAGAGAAATCACAGCCTTAGAATTCACAGACTCACAGAATGGTTTGGGTTGGAAAGGACCTTAAGATCATCCAGTTCCAACCCCCTGCCATGGGCAGGGACACCTTACACCAGACAATGCTGCCCAAGGCTCTGTCCAACCTGGCCTTGAACACTGCCAGGGATGGGGCAGCCACAGCTTCTCTGGGCACCCTGTGCCAGCGCCTCAGCACCCTCACAGTGAAGAACTTCTGCCTTAGATCTAACCTGAACTTCCCCTGTTTCAGTTTGAACCCATCACCCCTTGTCCTGTCACTACAGTCCCTGATGAAGAGTCCCTCTCCAGCATCCTTGTAGCCCCCTTCAGACACTGGAAGCTGCTCTGAGGTCTCCACACAGCTTCTCTTCTCCAGGCTGAACAGCCCCAGTGTTCTCAGCCTGTCTCCATACAGGAGGTGCTCCAGCTCCTGATCATCCTTGTGACCTCCTCTGGACTTGCTCCAACAGCTCCATGTCCTTCTTATGTTGAGGACATCAGAACTGCACACAGTGCTGCAAGTGCGGTCCCCCCTTACCACAGTGGGTTAAACCAACAGCTGCCCTGTCTTCATTAAAACTTTGTAATTAGCTGAATAACATTGATTCACTTAATCCATAATCTTCAGGAAATACAGACAGCACACATAGAAAATGGTACCTGGGGCACTGGCAAAGCAATTCTGCATACCATCAAGGCACTTAAGTCTGTGCCTCACTGCTTCATCTGTCTCCTTGTGGCCTCTGCTTAAGAGCAGAGAGAGGAGGGGGAAAAAGAATAATTTTGGAGACTTGGACTTTTATCTTTGATTAATAACAAGGTGAATTTTAGATGTGACCTATAGAAGCTACAGTGCTTTTCAACTTCACATTTCCAGGCAACACGAAGATGTAGCTCTGCCTTCAGCAGCACTGTAGCTTAATTGCAGAATCAAGTCCTTAATGCAATAGCAACTGGCACTCTTGTGGATACCTTCTAGCTATATTTGCTGATTCCTCTGGTGGCTGACTGTAGTGTACTACAACCTCTTGTAACAAGGAAACAAAGGCCTTACTTTGCACTGCTCCAGCGGTGTGTCCTCTGATTCTTGGTAGACAACGCTGAAGGATATGCTTTTAGGGTCTGATGAAAAGATCCAGCTGATTGTTAGCCCTGTCTCTGTAACAGTGATGGGAATGATACTGTAGGTGCTGGACTTAATGAACAGCTCTTTGTTGCTTTCCCCAAAATTTAAGATCTCTTCCACTGTAAGGGGTAATCTGACCCTGGGAAGGAGAAAAATACAATTACTTGAAGAGACCCAGTGGTTTTAAACCACGACACCCAGTCTAATCACTCAGACAGAAACAGTAATCATTGTCTTTTATTTTCCGTCTATTTGAGGCAGACTCCACAGAAACTCTGGGACATGTTCACAAGATGCAGGAAAATTCAGCCTGGGATGAAGGCAAGAGGTACAGAAGAGATGACTGATATCAAGCACTTTCACTACTCTGGCAAATGTGGATATTATTCACTTATTTAGTTCATTTTGACTAGAAAAATGTAGTGCTTGAATAAAGCTTTATAGAATTACAACATAAGGAGTACAACATATATAGAGTACAACAAAAAAAGTCTGCTGCCCTCTACTGTTCTTTTTAAAGAAAAACTGAAACAAAAAATAGTCACCTAATTTGTTCACCTTTCCAGATACTATTTATTCAGGAAATAGGGATCAGGAGTACAGATGGGACAGAGGGTTGGAATGTGAACAGCAGCTCTGCCTAGATCCTCCAAAGCATCTAATGCTACAGCTGTTTTACCCAAGCAAGCTGCAAAAAAGCTGACTCAAAGTACAAGGAAAAAGGGAGTTCTTAGATGATCCCAAGTCCTGAAGCATTGTATTAGCCTACCTCATTCTGATATGTATTCCAAAATGCAAACAGTGAGGCCCTTAAACAGGAGAACGCTGCTTGCTCTCTTCAGGAGAGACCTGTCATTTCTAAGAGCTGTGGATCTCCTCTACATGACCCTAAGTAAAACTGATCTAACACCTCTCTCCTTAGGCCAACTAAATTGTTTCCAAATCAGTGAGCTCCCAGCAAACCACAGTACTGCGATTTGTTATCAAAACCCAACACATTTACCAGAGGATATTATACAGTCACCATGACAATTTGCTGCTCTAGAGTAAGGAAGAGCTCAGTGTCCAGCCATGGCTACACACACAGTGCTAAGGGATCGCAACAGAGGAAACTTTATATGAAGTTTTGCCTAACTTGCTACTTCCTCTTGGCTGAAGTGTGCCTTGGTGTTCTGGGGTGTCTCAGGTGTTCTTTGATTTTAATACTCTTGGGTTTGCCCTACAGCCCAGCTATGATTTTAGTTACTGGTTCTGCGAAGAGCAGCAACCTGGTTGAAACATGGACTAATTTACCTCCCTGCAGACTGAAGTTTAAAACCTTCCCCATAACTATGCCAAAATTTCAAAGCTAGGCCTAAGGGGACAGGGAAAAAAGGGGAATTTCTCCATGTGCCAGGCATTTACATATGTTAGATTCCCTTTTTGGCTGTGCAAGTGACATGCTATATCACTACTGCATGCAACTGTTAATTTCAGAGCAGGATACAGCAGGGAATTGTGTGCACACTCTTCACAAAGGTTGAACAGAGGTTCAGCTGAACATTTGATGCTGAACATATTATGCTATGCTAGGCAATGCAGTTTCCATGAGACCACCAATAAGTAATAGATACATGCTCTAAAAGGCCACAAATTCCCTCCCTGGGACAAAGGTCTAACTCACACTGCACTTCTGACTTGCCCTTGCAGTTTCATCCAGAGACTACAAGAAATACATGGCCTTCTCTCTAAGCCCCCTTCCTGTTCATTGCACCTCCTTCAATCAGAACAGGAAGGAAGGTTTTCTAATGTGATGTGGACCCAAATCTTTCCTTCTTGCTCCCTCTTGCACTGAAGTTTTGCAGGGCTGAAGAGAGAGGGCCCTGCTTATTGCTCCTGCTCTGTGTAGCAGAGCTATACCCTCTGCTCCTCCTCCTCAGACCAAATTCTACTGTGATCAGCTCTCCCAGGAGTCTGCAACTTATTCTTGCATGGCTGATACTTGAGCTCAGTCTACTCTTTTAGGTTGGTAGTAATGAAACTGTTCTGCTTACATGATTTCTCCTGACTTCAACAAGCATATCTCAGCATCTTGAGCAACTTGCCACTCTTCCGATTCATCAAAGGTTGAAGAATTGCACGTGCTGTTTCTAGGACAAGATAAAAGAGGAAAGACATGATTCTCTGAGTGATATGTGGTCAAATACCATCTGCATGCTCATGCCTTCCTAAAACAGAAACCTTCCGACAGCCACGATGCCCAATTCTAGAATCTTTATTTTGTGCATTCTAGTGACAAAACTGGGCAAAACTGCAGCCCCATTCTGCTACCCACTGTGCACAAATGGCACACTCTTCCGATCCTGTTTCCATGAGCTAGGAGCACATACATCCAGAACATCCCTCCTACAGTCTGAAGATAATCTGAGATGCTGCCAGGTTTTAGAGATTCCCTGGCAGGTGGAAATCTTGATGGAGGGCAGGCACAAGCAAGACTTGTCCTTGAAACGATGCTTCCACAGGGATGTGACATTTGCCCTGGATTTAATCTGCGAGGTGTTTTACAGACATATTATCCAGTTCCTTACTCTGACAATGGTGCCCCAGGTGTATCTTATTGCTGTAGAATCACTACCAGGTATCTTCTTTTCATAGAAGAAATACTGGGTGATTCAAACACAAATACCTCAAACAAGCTGTTACAGGACAAAGCAGGATACCTCCTCCCCACCATGATGCATCCAGAAGAGCAAAGGAAGTAGATGGAATAACCTGCCATGGATGGTAAGGAACAGACTCCTTGCACCAAAAGGGTGCAAGCTCTGGGTGAACACTGGGGTAGCACCAGCTAGGAATTACAGGACTGGGACACAGACAGAATGAGCTTGAGAGTCAGTAAACAAATGCTGATAGTTTCCATGTAAGAGCTTCTCTAACTGATACTTACTTTGCTTCTCTGCACCTCAGCAGGTTGATCAACTGAGACAATTAGGCTGTCATTCCCAGAAAAATAGCCAAGGCTTCTTATACACAGGGAACCAACTGGTTGGTTCCTTCCAAAAACCAGTGGTATCTAATAAAATCTTGTATCACATGTAGCATATGTGCTTCTGAACCATCAATCATGTAGCAACAGAATAACTGCCACACATTCTGCAGACCGATTCTTAAAACCAATGCACAGTTCAGCATTTTCTTTGAAATCCTATGGGACCTTGCTCTACAAGCAGCAGTGTTGAGTAGAAGAGCAGGAGAAAACATCTCCAGGTAACAGCACCTTCAGTCCACAGATTCATGGAATGGTTTAGGTTGGAAAGGAGCTTAAGATCATCCAGTTCCAACCCCCTGCCACAGACAGGGACACCTCACACCAGACCAAGTTGCTCCAAGTCCCTGTGTCCAACCTGGCCTTGAGCACTGCCAGGGATAGGGCAGCCACAGCTTCTCTGGGCACCCTGTGCCAGCGCCTCAGCACCCCCACAGGGAAGAACTTCTGCCTTAGATCTAACCTGAACTTCCCCTGTTTCAGTTTGAACCCATCACCCCTTGTCCTATCACTACAGTCCCTGATGAAGAGTCCCTCTCCAGCATCCTTGTAGCCCCCTTCAGACACTGGAAGCTGCTCTGAGGTCTCCACGCAGCTTCTCTTCTCCAGGCTGAACAGCCCCCATGTTCTCAGCCTGTCAACAGTCATATTAACAGTCACACCAGGACCATTTATACCCTAAGGAGACAGCTGTGACCTGCAGGAAAGGCTCAAACCTGTCACTAAGTGCCCAAACCTGAGCAAGAAACAAGCACAACCTGTCCACTGAAATGCAGGAATGAAATACTACATTTTCATCCCTAAAGGTTAACACAACACCTGTGCAAATAAAGCAATACAAATAATTTATTATCTTTACACAACTATGTAAGAAAACTGCTTCTGATAAAAACCCTAGAAAACTATAGCCTGTAAACCTATGCATATATTTTGTTTGCACAGCAGCAGACTTCATGCTGTGATTCACAGAACTCTACCCTCTCACCACGACAGGTACACAGCTTTCATTTTGCAGCCTGGAATTTATACAGATCAAGAGAACTAATACAGAATCATAGAATAGTTTGGGTTGGAAAGGACCTTAAGATCATCCAGTTCCAACCCCCCGTGCCATGGGCAGGGACCTCACACTAAACCATGTCACCCAAGGCTCTGTCCAACCTGGTCTTGAACACTGCCAGGGATGGAGCATTCACAGCCTCCCTGGGCAACCCATTCCAGTGCCTCACCACCCTAACAGAAAGAATTTCCTCCTTATATCCAATCTAAACTTCCCCTGTTTCAGTTTTAACCCGTTACCCCTTGTCCTGTCACTACAGTCCCTTATGAAAAGTCCCTTCCCAGCATCCCTATAGGCCCCCTTCTGATACTGGAAGGCTCCTATGAGGTCTCCACGCAGCCTTTGGTTCCCAGAAGTGTCTAACTCTGTGATCTATTATGCAATGCCATTAGAGTTCCTTATTTAATCCATTATTTCACCTTTCTTTTGGGACCTGGAAATGTAAATTCTATCCCAGGACCAATACATTTTCCATGTTCTCCTATGAAATGTGATTTTCCTTATTCCTGCTGCTTCAAGCAAGCACATGGCTTGGTGGTTAGCTTGCCACTTGGATGCTCTAATCCATAAATTCAGCAGACCTACTCGCTATAGGTTAAGGGAACACTAAGTCTTCTACTTTGTCTCTTAAACCCAAGTGCATTACAATCACAAAGCAAATCCCCCTTCTCTTTATGATATCCCATTGAGTCCAATGGTCTAAGCTGAGGTCTGGTAGCCTATATGGAAAATATAAGAAAGAGTCTCAAGATTTAACAAGAGCTCATGTTCCCTGACAGAATTGATTCTTGCCTGGCTTTTCACACCAGGTGGCAGCATTAAGGATGTTCCTGCAGCTTGCCAGGTCCCCAGCTTGTGAATATGCACCCTCTGGTATCTATTAAAACAGTCTGGACTGTTTCTCTTGTCTTTTGAAAGTGAAGCGGGTCTGAAAAGCAGGAAGAACTGACATATGGGAAAGACACTACAGCAAGAAGAGAACAGCTCTGGTTCAGCAGCTCCTTGAGACAAGTATTGTCAGAGGCTGGTGGAGCATTTTGAAGAGGTATTACTTAATGCTTGTCCTGTTCTTATGCTCTTCCTCAGGCATCTGCTGTTGGTCACTATCCCTCCACTGGATGGTCTTATAATATATAAGATATACTTAACTCAGTGACCAGTTTTGGCTTAGGATCAGCTCTGATCAGGAAAAGCATGAAACACCTAATGCTGATCACAATGTCTTTACTAGTGGGATTGTATTTCCTCTTTCCTGCAGGCTGCCTATCTCAGTATTTACAAAGAAAAGAAAAGAAGCTGTAAATAGCTGCCAGATTTTCTAGGCAGTTTTATAGTGGGTACATAAACCAAGTGACATCATACACCCTTGGGCTCTAACACCAAGATGCTCTAACATTCCTTAGATATAAACTCTCACACCCTAATTCCCACACACTCTTTGCACCATGACATCTTTCTTGGTTTTCCTGGCATCTCCTTGGCACCCTGGATCTCTTGCCTTGAAACTCTGGGCTCCTTAAGTTGTTCTCCTTCCTTGTTCCTGCAGTTCCTCTTTTCTACCTCTGGCCTTTTAATTTCTCAGTGGAAGGCAAAAAGGTGCACAGGGGCAGTGCAGACTGGGGCAGAAAGTATGCAAAAGCTCCTGCAGAGAGTGGCAGAACAGGAGTGAAGACTGGATTAGGGAAAAGAATGAAGGGATACTGGAGAGGAGCTCAGGGAGAGCTTTATGCAGCTGTGGGCTACATATGATGAAAACAGGGTTGGGTCTGGCCCAAAGGCTGAAAGTCCTTTGTATCACAGCTTTCAGATACCAGGTTTAACCTGTTTCAAACCATTCTTGCAATAGCCATGTTCACTCTGGATGTTCCTTTTCTCCCCATATTCGGTCTTTCCTACCAGATGACTGCAGCTCAGTTGTATCTGACCTTTATTGGCACCATGACATCCATATCACTTTTTTCCCCTTAGCTGTTTAGGCAATCCTTTCCTTACTACCCAATTCCTCTTGTTTCTCCCATAGTGAAATAGTGCAACATCCTTAAAAACAAAACTAGGAAGTAATGTGCTGTGCTTGTGTGGCAAGTAAAGCTGCTTCAACAAGGCTGCTTTTATCAGCAGAGAGTGGTGAGAAGTTCTCCTGTCCCCACTTCTCTCCCTTGCTGGTTCTGTGCAGGCCAGAGAATGCTTCAGACCACAATCAGTTCCCCCTTTTGGCTACACTGGCACCCTGCCCAGCCATGTGAGTTGTAATCAGGTCAGGAAAGACTGTTATGAGTCTCTAAAAAACAAGAATCCAAACCAAAGCAACCACAGTGCAGACAGGCCAAGATGTGCTTTCTACCAAAAGCAGCCAAAGGTGTGAATACACACAAAAGGTGTGAACAAAGTCATTGTTTCCATACCAGGGTAGTGGCACTTTTTGGTTTTTTTCACACTTCTGCTTTGATCTTAATTCTGCTGCTGCAGTGTTAATTGCAGGCATGGAATTTCTACAATATGTGAAAATGGGAACACTGGTTTACCCTGGGGACTTTGATCCAGTGTTATGCAATATCCTCCTGACCTGTGTTTTAGAACACAATCTGCAAATGTGAAAAGAAATAAGAGCTTCAAAATACAACACTCCAAAAGAGAACCCATGAGCCTTGAAGTAGCAGGATGTGCTGCAACTGCACAACTTACCTCAGCTTCTCACAGATTGCTTCAAACTCACATAACAGACCTGAAAGCATGAAGTGACTACTCTTTAATCCTAGCCTTTAGGAAAGCGCAGTGTAGTAGACACCAAAAGGGGCACAAGTAGAAAGGAAAATATCCTTTAAGATCATTCACTCTTTTGAGCACCAACTTGCATTTCCAGGCAGGAAGGACTCACACCCAGAATAAGGTAAGGCAAGCGTGAAAATCTCAGCCACACTGAGATGCTCAAGTCATCCACAGTGTAATTCTCCATCCAAGCCATTCTCCTCTCCAGTGTTCAGAGTGTCTCAAGCACAGAGTAGGACTGATGAACCAAGAGCAACAGAGGTTAAAACACTATTTCTTGGCTTTCCTACCTCTAAGCTGTGAACAAGGGGAGACAGCTTCTAACAGTTTACATGGTCAAGCAGGATGTTGCACGAGCGCCCTTCAAGAGTAGTATTCCATCACTAGTGGCAATCCTTCCGTCCAGCTTTAACATTTTGTGGGACAAGTTGAAACAAATGGTGACACACACTTATTTCTTTAGTCCTGGTTGTAGTCACCGGATCTAACTCATTGACATCCCCTCTGCAGACAGCATGAATTCAAAGTACATTACACTTGGTTTCCTTCTTAAAGGAAACAAAAACCCCACACACAAATTGTCCCTTGGCAAAACAAGGGCCAGATTCACTTCAAAAGAGCACTGTGAAGTTCAGTTTGCTCATGTCTGTCTAATGCATGAAAAACATACACTGTCACAGTACACAAAATGGGCAGGATGCATACAACTTATTTACCAACAACAAAATCGGACAATTTTGAAGAGTTGTTTTTTTTTCCCCCAACTAAACCAGTCTGTACAGTCTGCCTTCTACCCAAACTGCAAAATGCTGTGCTTTGTGCTGGAAACTGGTCTGCTGAGGGCAAAAGAGTCAAAGTCTGCTTCCTCAGCAGCAGGCTGGTTACTCTGTGGCTATCTTCAGCTTAGCATTTTCATTTATCATGCTTCTTTTTCTGCTCAGAAGCAGAACAAGCCCAGAACTGAGGTGAAAATGCCCTCTTTTTATTTTGATTCTCAAATATATAGGAGATTTTGAAAGACTATATATTACAGAACAGAAACTTTGGAAAATATTTAGTAGCATTTTAACAATATTTTGTCTAAATATGGATATATATTAAACTCTAATGCCACAACATATTTTGCAAACCAAGTACTTGGATATTCAGATGGCCTTAGGTCCTCTTCCTTGCTCATTTATGTAAACTAGATGTAAAAGACATGACTGAAACCTGCATTTGTGCTCATTTCAGGAAAAAAGAATAAACTTGTGCCAGATTTAGCTATGCAGTTCCTGTTCTTTTTGCTTTTTGTAAGTAGCTATCTCTAAAGCAGTAAGGAATCCTACAGATGCAGACCAGCTAGTTCATATTCAGTTCAATAAAGCCTGTCATAAAAAGAGCATATCTTTCCTTATCTTTTCCCGGCCTCCTTGTTCACTTGATATTAAGTAATGGTGAGTCTGATAAAGAGTACTGCTTTGCTCCTACCGTAAGTTAAGTGTGAACGTGATCCAGTGTAGCCTGCAAGCTAATTTTGACATGCACTGAACTGTGACTACTCCTCTGTGCTGTGGTGAAGTAGGTGGACCTGTTTGGATTTAGTAGACTTGATGTTGATTGTGCAAACAGGCCAAAATCAGTTTGTGTTGGTCTACTGAACACGTGGCTGGTAGCAGAAGTGTCTTCTCTGTATGCAGAGGTTGGCTACCCCCAGTGCACTGAAAAGTAACCCAAAAAACAGTACTGCAAATAAAACCCAGAAGAGTCCCCTCTCCACGAAGCAGTGTTTACTCACAGATCTGTCACGCTTTGATCCAGAGAATCTTGCTCCATCTGACTTTCACTGTGGAGAGAGTCCGATTCCTGTACTTGGCACAGCTCCTCATCAGTGATTATATCAAATGCTGCATCATCTGGTGGTTTCGAGGCTTCACCTGAAATGGTGCCATTCAAAGATAGAAAAGAAACATAAAACAATATTAGCTGCTTGTCTGGAAACCAAACAAGCAAAACCCTTACAGGGGAAGCCTGAGCCATTCCTTTGCTTTCGTGGAAGCATTAGGTCACTATTGGAATGAACCGAAAACCTCAGGCTGAACGACACTCATTGAATACACATGCAAATGTCTGTCAATACTCATCAAATTCAATAATTGGACCAGTCCCACCCTGAAAACACTCCATGAACATGTAGGTCCTTGATGCACGAGGTGGCCATGTGGTTTCTTGGACAATGTCTAAGAACTCTGCTTGTTTCCCCAGAGCATGCAAACAATAAGCTAACCAAAAGCCCCCTCGGATGGTGACACGGGTGATTCCAGTGAAGCTGGTGATCCTTCCTGGTTGGCACTGGATCCAGAGTCATCTGTACTGTCCACAATAACTCTAGGCTTATTAAAGCAAGCTCTGCAGCAACGCTCCTTCTTTCCACCAGGCTTTGTCACCATGTAGTTGTTGCAGCAGTAGTAGCAGAAAATGCGACCGCACATTCTAGAAATGAGTCAAAACCAAAGGTGTTAGAATAGTACCACATCCAGGTGGAACACATCCATGTGACAGAGCCAGGGGCTTTGTCATGATGGTCTTGTTCTTTGCAAAAGCACAAATGCTGTACCCATGTACTCAATACAGACTGTGCTGCTTCCTGAGATGAAGCAAGTTTTCTTGACAAACACAGGACAGATTCATACTTAACTGCCTTAATAAGTAGGGAAAACAGAAAAAAAAATAAAAAACCACTAAAAACCCAATTACATATACATTTAAATATTAAAACATAAGCCAAATAAATACTCACCAATCTGCAATACAAATAAATATTACATATATTGAAGGAAGGAAATATACTTAACAATATTACACAGGCCAAATCTCATACTCAGAGCCAAACTCCATTTCATTGTAAGGGCTACAAGAACACATCTAGACATCTCTATTAATAACCACCCTTTTCCCCTTCAGACAGGGAAGAAAAACCAGCATTGGACACATATATGAACATCCACCCCTCCTGCTCTCTCACCTCTGCAGCCTCTCAGGACTAAACCTGACAACTACTTCTTAATGAACGTGTTAAGATTTTCCTGAAGAAAAGCACCCAGCAGGGATGACTGCTCTTCATGAAGTCTTGGTGGTTTTGGTTTCTTAAATAAATCATTAGCAGCTGAAAACACAAGCAGGTTTCGCAGATTTTAGTAGAAATGAGTAATCTGGAAGTTGGTACTGGAAATGACTTCACTATTCATTAATCCTCATTGAATGTTCCCTACGTTCATATGCAATTGAAACAGTCCTAGTACTACTCACCTTAGAGGATGAATCGAGGATAGAGAACAGTAAAGAGAGACAAAACAAACATGACTAAGACCCTGAAATGTATCCACTTAAATACATTTGAGTAAATCTAGATCAAGTCATTAGTTAACTCCAAGCAGGCTCACTGCATAGGAAGTAATTTAATGTTAAGGTTTTTTTACAGTTTACTCTGCAATCAGCAAATATCCCTGAGCATACCTAGTGTAAGGAACCAAATTTGTAATTGCACAGCATGTTGCTTGTGTTCTGAAATACTTCTATCACAATAGCAAAATCATTTTAGTGAATATTGTTTACACCATGCACAGAGCAGTGCATAATAAATACATTAAAACCCGGACACACGCTATATAAGGTGTGATTATCTTTGTTTCCAGAAATGAGAAACTAAGTTGCATCCAGATCCTTGCCTTAATACATGTCAAGAGACCTTTCCATTGATGTCTCTTTTCCCCTTGTGAGCTCGTGTTCTTTCAGCCTCTACAATGACTTGTATTAATGATTTTGACCAATGAACTGTGAACATTAGGAAGTACTTCATCCATAAAAACATTTAAACTGGATTTTGCTTTTGAGCAGCGTAGTGGAGTTCCACAAACTGACCTGCAGTGGTGTCGGCGCACCATCCATGAGAACTCTTTCTGGCAGTCCAGGCAGTGGTTAACCTCTGTGTCCCCCTGCCACCTTTGCTCTGCACTAAGCTTCTGCTGGAACTCCAGAGCATCTGATTTTTGCCACAGAGCATCTTTATCTCTGCAGAGACACAGTTAAAAGAGAGGAAAAACACACAGAAATGATTACTGCTGGTTTACTGATAACCGACCTCAACTTGAACGTTGGCAAAAGTTTCACAGTAAAAATTGCTTTGATGAAACTTCTGAGGAGGTTTCAGACATAAAGATAGATCAGAAACCCACCAAAGCTCTTAGGGAGGAGCAGAGAAAAACGTATGTCATGGAGAGAACTACGTATTTTTGCAAAACAGACAGCAAATTAAGGAGGGAATAATAACGGATGCTATATTTTTGACTGCATTATGGAAATGCAGAGTTTCAACTGCTGATGAACTTGGCCATTACCTGTATCTTCCACTCAGGAATACAAGACTGAACCACCCTTAACATCCTAAGCTAGGATTTTAATCGCTTCTTGCTCTTTATTTTAATGCCAACCTGATAAGTTCTATCAAACGCTCTTCAAGGAACTGTTTTGTTCTTGTCAGATCATCCAGTTCAGCAAACAACTTCTGGTCACTTCTGTCTTTGTCTGCTGCCACCTTGCTGAGCTTCTCACTGTAATCCAGGACCTTCTCTTTTGCTTCCTCAGCTTCTTTTTGCATCCTGATCAAATACAAAGGCAATTAAGAATAATTTAGCTCATGTGCATTCAAGTCTTCCTCATGGAAGAAAGTGGTCCTCCACCCTCATAAACAGGTACTTTCTCAGTGTGCATAGTTTTTACAGTTAGTCAGAATCTCTCCACTTTTCTACATCACTGAAAGTGCACACAGATCTGTTATCTAGTGAACACACTCAGCAACCAGCAATTTCTTGGATGCCCTGCTTATAGCAAAGCTTATGATGGCTACCACACTGGGAGTAAAATAGCTGTTCTTGGAAGCTAAGATCAGCAGCAGCTGCAAACTGAGCTTCACGTTCACAAAAGGGAAGCAAACCAGTTTCTCACTATGCTCTTCTAACACCAATGCAATTCAAGAACCAAAGGCTAGAGACAACTCAGTTCACTGCACAGTCAGTGGAAGGAAATTTTCCCAGGAAGCTTCCAAGAATGTAAGTTTTGAGTTAACAATATGGCAGTTTCAGCCCTGTGAGTCCCAGCAATGGATCGAAGATGCTACAGCAACACAACCCAAACGGTTGAGCTGCTCTAACTCACTCAGCTAATTCAACTGTATTCAAATATTTTGACGAGTTAGATTTTGCACTGACAACCTTCAGTACAGATCAAGAATCATCAGTCTTCCCACAAAGACAGATGATATCAGCACAAAAAAATGTACAAACAAAGTTGGTTAACCGAAACTCTGTGTGAGCCCATGCCCCATGAAGATCTATTCTGGACTGCCAGTTAATCCACACCACACAGGCTCACATTTCAAACCTGTGTTAGATACTTTAAACTGATAAGAAACATGACAAAGACATGCAGGATGTGGCCCCATTCAAATAATTCTTACTGATTCTCTGAAATATTGAGGAGAGGAAAAAAAAACTGTTAAAAAGCACAAATTTTCCATTCCTTATGAAAACAAAGAGCCAATATTGATGCTTTAGTTTTGTTATTACGCTATAAGGTAAAAAGAAGTTGTAAAATGTCTTTCAGTCTCATAAAGGAAGTCATACAATGAATTTATGTCATCAGCTAAATTAAAAATACATCAAAACCCAACCTTGCACTTACGTGTGCTGTGCAATTTACAGATTTCTCATCTGAAGTGTCAACCTCATATTTTCCATCAGTGCCCGGGCACTATTTGCCCTATATAAACCCTGTGGCATATGCCACTTCATAACCCACAGCCATTTTCAAGATGCTTTGGTTACTGGCCCCTTACTTGGCTTACAGGTAATGGTGTAAAGGACCCAAATTCCCACCTTTCCAAGAGTTCTCTCAGAGATGACACCTCCTCTTCTTTCTGCAGCCGAGCAGATTCTGATTCAGACAGCAGCTCTCTTGCTTCATCCAGCTTTCTAGACAAACTTGTGTTTGTAGCCTAGTGAAATAAATGACTGTATTTCCTTACATAGAAAAACAACACTTTATCAAGTATAGGACAATTACCAAGACACCTAAACAATGCTTTAAAAGAATCTGTTAAAGCCAAACCACCAATTAAGATATTCTTGTATAAGCAGATGCTAATTAGTTGTGTACGACTGATTGATTACTCCTGTCACACTGAGTAAGGGATAGACTCTAAAGCGAGACAGTATTAAGTCTCTAATTCTTACTAGTCCGTATCAGTTGAGCTTTTGCCTCCTTATCAAGGAACATCTCTCAAAGATAATGGCAAAAGAATATGCCCTGCAAGGTTTTTCACCACCTGAAAGTTTCGAAAGAACAAAGAATGTATTTGGGAAATGTTTACTGCCCAAGGAAGTGGTAAATGCTCCAGCCCTGGCAGTGTTCAAGGCCAGGTTGGATGGGGCTTGGAGCAACCTGGCCTAGCAGAAGGTGTCCCTGCCCATGGCAGGGGGTTGGAACTGGATGAGCTTAGGGTCCTTTCCAACCCAAACCATTCTCTGCTTCTATGATTATTAAAGCTATATGACACATGAAGTATAATGGAAACAAAAACTTCTTTCACACCTAGCCTCTCCAGAGGAGTCTGGCAAACTTGGGAGTCCTCAGGGAACATACCTAGCTGCATCTAAAGGTGTGCATATCTCTGCTAGAAGGCAGGGCCAGGTTCAATAACTGTCTTATTTCTGGGGTCCTTACACCCCTCCTAACGCAACTGTTTGATAAATGTATTGCAAAAATCATGTTTTCTTCCCAGCTGGATTATTTCTCAACCAGATTAATTCTCAGTGTGCTTTGCAGCCTGCAAACAGTTGGATCCACACACACGGCTGTGTGCAGTGGGCAAGCAGGGCCTAAGACAGACACCTTTTAAACCTGCACCCCCATTTAGAAGTGTACACATAGCTAGGTTTTACTCAAACCCTAACTAGCTTTCACTGCAGGACAAATCCTAAGTGCTGTTTCAGTGGCTAACTTTCAGCTGCCAAGTATTTTGTCTGCAGCACTTGTATTCATTCAGGGACATTCCCAGCCTCATATCCAGTCACCAGAAATGCTGCTGCCTTCTCAGAGAGAACACTAATGCCTGCTGACACAAACACCTCTGTCTTTTAATCAGATCAAGCACCTACTTGTAACTCTGCAATCTCTTCCTCTGCAGCACGCTGTTGTCGCTTCTGCTCCTCTAGCTGCTCTCTTACTTTCCCACACTCTTCACTGACAGCCTAGCAGAGAGATGGAGCCAAGAGTTAGCATTCCTCTAGCAGCCACCCTTGCTCTTTCCCATTTGTCTGTTGTCTTTCGTGCCCCCCCATCTTTGCACCCCTGTAAAAAGCCCAGCTCTTTCTTCTTAGTAACTCTCTGAAGGTGCTGGGGTGCTGCTTTTTGGTCCCCATGAAGCTGTGTCTTCTCCAGGCTGAATAAGCCCCATTCCCCAGCCTTCCTGCACAGAGCAAGTGCTCCAGCACTGATCCTCCTGAGGGCTTTCTGGTGATCAAGCTGCAGGTTACTGATGGTTTTGAAGGGGCAAACAATATTTCAGATGTGGCCTTATAAGTACTGAGTAAAGAGGGATAATCACTGCCCTCAGGCTCCTGGGAGTGCTCCTGTTAGTACAGCCCTAGATAAATTCCCTTTTGTATCTGCCACAGACGCCACAGAGCAGTTGTCTCCCTCTGACCAGTTTTCTCCAGGCAGCCATCTCCTCCCTGGCCACCAGAGGTGTTTCAAAGGCCTATTTCATGTTCCTTCACTTTCCCCTTCACTTGTTGCTCTGTGGACACTGGCCTCCTGTTTAGATGTGCTCTCTTGAGATGGGATGTTCTCAGCTGAGGCGCTTATGCATGGGAGTCTCTACAAGATTCCTAGCTGTAAATCAAGAGTGCTCCTACTACCATGTATGGGATAAACACAGCACCACTGTCAGCCTTGTGACAGGCAGCTAAGGAGAAACACAACTGGATGCACGGAAATTCCCCTCTGTTGTGGCAGACTAGCTGTGGTTTACTGTTCCCATTACAGCTCTCAACAAAAAGGCGGCTCAACTTTCAAAATGCTTTGGCTCAAAAGAGGGAGATAACCCAAATCATACAAAGGTTTACGAAGCCTTTATGGAAATGAAACAGAGGTGAATGGGTGCTGTTTTGTCAAACTTGTGGGATTTCTGGATACCACCAGTGGCATACGCCTCTGATCGACTGCCATTCTTAGCCATGATCTCAGCACGGCAGCACAAACACAATAAAACCTTCAGCCTTTAGGTGTGCTGTTTCACATACACAGGCCTGACTTATGTTTTCTGGAAGCAAAACTTTGATCTTCTCTGCTCCTGCTTTGAACAGCTGAACACAAAACTACATGAGGGAATTAACTGCAAAAGTATCTGGTCTCAGTCTAAGTTTGCTTTCGTCAGTATCAGTTTTAAGGAGAAGTAGCATTGTGGGTGTTGGGAACAGGGCTTGCAATGTTCCTACCAAAAGAGAAAGAAATCAAAGCTGTGACCAGAGGGAACAGCTCCAGAATACACTACCTAAAGTGCCAACTCCCTCTCCATTACTGGTGGGCTTTTCTATATTACATGGCCTCTCTACTGTGCTCGGGTGGCCACACTACACATCTCCAAAATAAGAGAAGAGTGCCAGGAGGATGGTGCCAGACTCTTTCCAGTGGTGCCCAGCGACAGGACGAAGAGCAATGGCCATAAACTAACGCACAACAAGTCTCACCTCAGCATGAGGAAGAACTTCTTTACACTGAGGGTGTCAGAGCACTGAACAGGCTGTACAGGGGGGTTGTGGAGTCTCCCTTTCTGGAGACATTCAAACATGCTTGGGCACATTCCTGTGTGACCTGCTCTGGGTGTCCCTGCCTTGGCCCCACTCCACTTAGGTTGGACCAGAGGATCTCCAGAGGTCACTTCAACCCTAATGATTCTGTGATTTTACCTCAAATAGTCCTAGGTAAGAAGTGTAGAGGCATTTTAAGACTCCTAGGTTAAGACTAGCTGTGTGCTAGTCTCAGAGCCTGACAATCGCAAACCTCAGGGTTTCATGCAGTTATTGCTGCAGCAGATGGTAAAGCAGGGGAAATCCTGCACAGCTCCCTCAGCTGTAACCATCACATTCATTTACCTTGAATTTTGTCTGACAATTTAGAATCTCTGTGCTCATTTGAAATTTTATTGCAGACAGCTCTTCTTGGCTGGTCTCTTGGAAACTCTGTACCCGTTTCGTTGCTGCCTCCAGCTGCAATTGCAGACTTGGGACAGCTGAGGCACATACTTGAGCCTCCTCTAATTTCTCTTGAAGGCTCTTGTTCTCCTGTCTGAGATTAGAGATATCAAGCTTCAGCTTCTCCTGTTGCTTGGCTGCCTGTTCTTCCAGTTCTTTGAGGCTTTTTGTAGCCTGGGCTAACTGCTCTTCTGCATCCACCTTTTCAGAGGTCAAGGCACAAATCTGAATACCAAGTTCAGCCATATCTGTGTTGGTCCTGTGGAGGAGATCTTTGTTTTCTTCATTTTCCATTCTAGCAACTTCCAGGCACTGCTTAACCTTGCATAGCTCTTCCTTCATGCTCAGCAAATCATTTTCTAGCTGAGCTTTTTGGTGGGCTGCTGTCTCATGCTCTTTTTTCAGCACTTCTTCTCTTTCTTCACATTGCACCAGTTCTTGCACATGATTTCTGTTGAGTGACTCACTCTGCTCTTTAAGCTGCTGGACAAGCACCTTCTGCTCTCCCAAGGAAGCTTCTGTGACTGCCAGCTCACCTCTCATCTGCTCTCTCTCATCAGCAGCCTGCTGAAGCTTGACTCGCAGGTCAAGGACCTCTGCTTGCAGTCTAGACACTTCACCACGGCTGACCTCCAGCTGCTCTTCACTCATGGCCAGTCTGGAGGTCAGCTCTTTTGCCTCCTTCTCCAGAGAAGCTGCCTGCTGTAGCTGATGTTCTTCCACGGATTCCTTTTCTGATGTGAGGGATTCTATAAGCTTTGTCTGATGAAGGCATGTCTTTTCAACACTGAGCTTTTCTACCTCAAGAGCCTCTGACTTCTTCTTATGTCTTTCAGCTTCTGCTCTTAGCTGCTCACACTGGCTCTCCATGTCTTGCAGTTTTAGTTCCTTCTCCAAGAGCTGTGTCTGGAGACACTCTTTGCTTTCTTCCAAAGTGCCTAAGCTTTTTTCCATCTGTAAACTGTGCTGTTTGGCACTCTTCAGCTGTCCTTCAAGTGAGGCGTAAGACTCCTTCATGGTCTCTTCTCTTTGCTTTAGTTCTTCATAGTCTGAGTGCAGAGCCTCTAATTTCTCCTCCAGGATTTGGCTTTGCCTCCTGGCATTCTGCAAGTCTTCATCCAGCTGTTTGTTCTCACTCCGGAGCCTCTTCTCTTTTTCATCAACTGACACCAGGGCATCATCTATCTCACTCTGAAGCTGTTTCTCAGAGGCTCTCAGCCTGGCTACCTCAGCTTCCAGGGAGGCTTTAGAAGCTTCCAGATTTTTCAGCTTCCCTTCCATCTTCTTCTTGGACTGCTGCAAATCCACATTCTCTGCTTTCAGCTTCCTGCCCTCCTCACCCATTTCACTCACTGCAGAGTTTTGCTGCTCCATCTGCTCCTCCAGCTCCTTGACTTTCTGGCTGAGATGCTCCTTCTCAGACAAGAGATTCCGGTTTTGCTCCTCAAGGCTATACACAGACTGACTCACCTTTGCTAAGCGACCCTCCTGCAGTTGAAGTTGCTCTGCTTGTGACTGGGCTTCCTGTTTCAGTGTTCCTTCCTTCCTACCATATTCCTCCTCAAGTTTCTCTTTTTCTTTCCTTGCTTCCTCAAGACTTTTTTCCAGTGACCCCACCTGAGCCAGCGACCCCATTACCTGGGTCTGGAGCTCAGACACTTCCTTTTCTTTCAGGGTTAGGGCCTTCTGAAGTGCTTCCATTTCCTTTGCCATGGATTCCAGCCTCCCAAGCAGCTTTTCATCCTCTTCTTTGGAGTCAGCAGTGAGGTGATTGTATCTAGATTCCAGCTCCTTCTGTGCCTCTTCTTTCAGCTGCAGCTCCTCCCTCACTGCTTTCAGCTGAGACGCTTGCTCATTATTGAGTCTTTGCATGCCTGCCTTTTCCTTTTCCGATTCCTGAAGCTTCTCTAACAGTGCATGTACCTGTAGGGCAGCATCACAGTGGGCTGTGGCTTGCTGTCCCCTTTCCTCCAAGGCAGCATCAACTTTTGCAAGGAGATTGAGGTTCTTCTGTTCTGTGGAACTCAGCTTGGCTTTGAGCTCATCAATGCAATGATCCTTCATAGCAACCAAAGCCTTAGAGGCCTCCAGCTCCTGATTTAACACCTGCAGTTTTGAGGCATAGTCTTCCTTGCTGGCCATGAGCTGCTCGAGTTTTGTTGAATATTCCTTCTGCTGCTCCACTGCATTCAGCTCTAGTGACTGCAGGCACCTCTGCAGGTCATGAACAGTGCTCTGAGTGGAGTGTGAGACCTCACACTGTTTCTGTAACTCTGTGATCATCTTTGTCAGCCGGGAGTTCTCCTCATTGTAGTTATTGCTCTTCTCCTTTTCTGCCTGTACTTGCTCCTTCTGAAGGCTGACAGCTGCCTGGAGCTCCTGATTTTCCATTTCTAGCTGGTGAATACGATCTTGAAGTTCCCTCTGCCTCAACTCAGCCTGGTCAAGTTCTACACGCATCTCTTCAAAGCCCTCAAGGTGTTCAACATTTAGTGAGTTATTTGCATCAGGGCTGGAGGGGAACTCCTGGGCCTAAAGGAACAGAAGGGGAAAAAGCAGAAAGTTTAAGAATGCATTTAAATGGTGTGCTCAGATGAGAGCAAATTCAGGTTTCTAATGCACAGTGATGTTGTATGTTGCACTCGCAGCATTATAAGATATCAACTCCCAGGAAATGGGGCTTGTTTTCACAAAAGATAAATGAAAAAGCATGTAGATGAGGCCCTAAGGTTTAGTGGTGTTCTTGGCAGTCATGGGGTAATGGTTGGACTTGATCTTACAGGTCTTTTCCGACCTAGATCATTCGATGATTCTATCTGCAGGCAGATACAAGGTCTGCGTGTTCAGTTGAATCAGCTACTGGACAATTCTCTTTACTTTTAACTAAGAACTCTTTTTTGTAGTTTACCATTACATGAGTCATAATCACCATAAAGCTATCAAGCACTCTGGAATGATGCCATTAATTAAGGATCTACTATGTCACATAAACATTTCTTTGTAATATGCTTACCTGCAAATAACTGCTCACTAAACTGCTCATGCTGGAACTGCGACTTGGGGGCTTCCATAAATATGCAGAAGATCCAAGTGAGGACAGTGTCCTCCTGTTGATCACACAGAGAAACAAGCTATAGGAGAAGTCTAAGCACATACATGCATGTCTTCCTACTCTCACATGTAACATTTGTGGAGTTGGAACTACTATATACCAAAAGACATCACAGCAGCTGCAGTTATGGGGCCAACAACCACTGAAGTGGATGGAAAACAAACTAAGGATGTCAAGAAAGCTTATGGGATTGGCAGCCATGACTTCCCACATCCACGAGAACCACGATGCAACTCTGCTCTAAGCAACTGTTTGGTGGCGGCTCAGCCAGGTGGTGGCAGCATGCAGCCCTCGAAAACACCCACTGGAAAATGGATCTGGATCAGGCCTAAAGTTCTCCCCCTCGTTGAAGTAGGATCAGGCTGTGAGTGACCACATACTGACATCTCTACCATCGCTACAAGTGAAGCACACTGCTTGGCTTTTCAGTCACCGCATGTCTCAGCTCTTAAAACAGAAAGAGCTAAGAATATTTGTTCTTGTTCCTCTGAAGATGAGAACAGCTTGGGAGGTGGCCTAAGCTGCCCTTATTGGAAGTACTCCATTACAGAGCATCAACTCTGATCTCTGGTACACAGGATACTGAAAGAAATAAAGGCCAATTTGATCATAGACTAATTACATGGAGAAAGCATATACTGCTCTAACACAAATATTCCTACCTTCAAAAGCAGAAGCTTTAACAGACTGTGAAGAATTTTATGCTACATTTTATGGCCCTGTTAATACTAAATGACAAAGTACTTCTATCGTACCTGGCAAATGCTGGCCAGGCAGCATCTAAATCATAGCCTCTTGATGCCAAGTCAAACTGAACGTCAGTCAGCTCATAGAGATGACCCACAATGTCAGAACTCATCCTGGAATTGAGAAATGGACTTCTTGCGTAGTACCAGTCACTTGAAAACAATCAGACACAAAAATAAAGTAAGCAATAGTCACAAAACTCATTCATAAGTATAAAAGAAGCAGCAGCTTCACTCACAAAAAGCCCCACAGCATCATTTTCACTCCATCCCAGAAAAATTATGATACACTGTACTAACACAAACTGAAACAACCCATCCCTTTGATACGAATGAAATTCAACAGCTTTAATGAAGTCCACAGAAATATCTTTAGAGGAGCCCCCGCACAAGGTATTTTTTGTTCTAGTGCTTGGCCAAAACACCAGCAAGACAAAATATTTGCTATACACTGGGTAATCACACAGTAAATACCTAAAGCACACACTTGAAACATCAGAAATGAGGCAAAGAACGCAGCAATCAGAGTTAAATATACTGCGTAAATAGATGGCTTTTTCTAACAGCCACAGCAATGCCTCCCTCAACCAACTACAAACTATCTTTGGTGTTCCTTGGCCAGGAGCAAGCTGTTCTTCTATGTGACAACCCAGAGATACACTTAAATGCTTTCTCGGGCTTTGAGCAACACATCCAAATTAATCCTCCTTTATGATGCCCAGCACAGAAGATCAAGCCCAGGATCTTCAATGCTTCTAAAAATGTCACCTTTGAAACAAACAGACAGAAGCATCAGGACCTCCCACTCAACAGATATTTAGCTGTAACAACTTTCAATCTTTACCAGCCTAAAATAGGTATGAACCAGTGACCCAGGCCAAAAGGTCTGTTATCCTTCCTATCCTATTACCAGCTCTCTAAGCCAACCATTTGGAAGCGTTTCAATTCCTTTCAATAGCTACTTTATGATGCTGCCTGATCACACTGAGCAAACACCCATTAGTGAACAAGGTACTTTGCTATTCACCTGGTCACCTTGGTGTTCATAAAACACTGCTGCAAGGTGTCTGCTAGCCTCTGGTGCACCAGGGAGTAACGAAGAAATGCTCTTCCTTTTCCAAGAGATGTTCGTAGCTGAAAGGGAGAAACCACAAGAAAAGAAAATCCTAAGTATCATCTGTGATGTAGAGACGTGGCCAGAACAGCCTATGTATCAACACAAAACCACTCACAATAAGCCACTAGTTGTAAAGGAAGTAGTAAGAACTGAGAGACACCTTCTCCCAATACTGTCACTGGGTGGAACCCTTTTTGAATGATGAATGTGCACCTACAGCTGGCTGATGTCCACTTTTTAACAGTGTAAAGGGCATCACAGGACCAATGATTAATTTCATATACTGAGTACATGAGTACAGACTACGCTAAGGACGATTCCCAACGCAAGGCAAAATCCCAATGTGCCCAGCAAAGCCAGAAGTGTCTGCTTAGGTTACTTGGGATGTGCCTGGCCACAGCTGGAAGAGCTTTAGAGCAGCTCTAGTCATAGAACAAAGATGTACACATACACAAATACACACCCCCACAGACCCACTCACCCTTTCTTAATACTTAAGCCATTAAGTTAATAAAAACCTAATTCTTACTTCAGACCAAGAGCAGCTGCATGACCAAAATTAATGGCTCTTTCCATGAAGACAGCTGTTATATCAACATAAAGGGCATCACAAAACTCAGTATTTAACTTTGTTACAGCTCTTGACTTGGGGAATTGAGACATTGGTTTGTTTTTTACATCTGAGCTATTTGCTGTCCTGCAAAACAGTGAAACACTAAACAGCAGTGTTTTATTTCTTCTAGCCATCGAAGTCACTGATCAATTTAGGAATGGAAACTGATAGTGATGAAAGAATCTCTCACCAGGCAGCAATGCTCCCGACTAAACCGTTCATCCAACCAACAAACCAAACATACTCAAGACTCAGAAATGGAATCCAACATGAGAGGGGCTGAGGCACAAGTTAGTAGGTTACTGTGAATATTGACTGAACAGTTAGTGTGAAAGAAGGCTCAAAGGCTACACTTTCCTTCCTCCTTCATCAGTATTCCATGCTGCTACTGGGCTTCTGTGCTCAACTCAGACTCAGGTTCCTCATTTAACTCACTGATACACTATATACAAAAATGTTTTTTATAAATGGAATAAGGAAATAAATGTGGAGCAAAGGCAGCAACACCTTTTTGGTTTGAGTTCTAAAGGAATCAGCCAGTCATCCTCAACTCTACTGACCAGCTGAAAAAGTCTTTAAAAATGTGAAATATGGTGAATCTTTCCTCTTACTTAGTGCCAAGTCCTGCTGTAAGCTATGCTAAGGATGGCAGGCTCTACCCTTGACTTAATTCTTCATTCTTTTAAAGAGAAAATGGCACTAAGCTTATGAAAAGGCAAGGCAGAAGCAGAGACAAACAAGGACAATCACTTGCATAAGTGGTCTTAAAAATAAAGTAAGAATTGGATTACTTGATCCTATATAATTTAGTGCCTTAGTAAAAACAGTAACTAGGTATTTTGATAGAATCATAGAAAGGGTTGGAAAGGACCTTAAGATGATCCAGTTCCAACCCCCTGCCATGGGCAGGGACAACTCACACCAGTCCAGGTTGCTCCAAGGCTCCGTCCAACCTGGCCTTGAACACTGCCAGGGATGGGGCAGCCACAGCTTCTCTGGGCACCCTGTGCCAGTGCCTCAGCACCCTCACAGGGAAGAACTTCTGCCTTAGATCCAACCTGAACTTCCCCTGTTTCAGTTTGAACCCATCACCCCTTGTCCTATCGCTACAGTCCCTGATGTACACTGGACAGACACTGGAAGTCCCCCTTCAGACACTGGAAGCTGCTCTGAGGTCTCCACGCAGCTTCTCTTCTCCAGGCTGAACAGCCCCAGTGTTCTCAGCCTATCTTTGTATGGGAGGTGCTCCAGCCCCTGAGCATCCTCGTGGCCTCCTCTGGACTTGCTCCAACAGCTCCATGTCCTTCTTATGCTGGGGACACCAGAGCTGCACACAGTGCTGCAGGTGGGGTCTCAGGAGAGCAGAGCAGAGGGGCAGGATCACCTCCCTTGACCTGCTGCTCACGCTGCTTTACATGAGAATTAAAAATACAAATTCCCAACTTTTTCTGTTGTATGTTAAAAGCAGTGCATTTTCTTCTGGTTTCTACTGCTCTCAAAGACACAGCAGAATGTAAAGCCATATATTATGATGATGAACTGATATACTCACTTCTGTAATAGACTTGACAAAGCGGATTCCATCATTAGCTCCCTTGACTTTTGCTAGACAGTCACAGAAATAATCCCAGTAGTCTTTTCTGTTCCCCAGCAACGAGTTCTTTTCTTTCTGGTCAAACTTAAGCAAGAGAAAATGCAATAAGCAAAACTTAAATACAAATATAGTTATATTTAGCTACTTGGAATTCTCTTCCTCTCCCAGCAACAAGCTTTCGTGGCTCCTCTTTGTTTTAGCCAATGTATGCACAAAGGAAAGAGACACTGATGGAATCCAGGAGATCCATGAGCTACTTTACAGACAGTAACAGATAATAATGTTCTGGGTGTAGTTAAAATACAGACATTCATTCAAAACTGCTGAAACAAAGATTTGCAGCAGATTCAGCAGCTGTCTAAGAGCGACAATCAGTTGCTGAGAGACCTGGAATCAAGTGTGGCAACAGCACACGTGTATGTATCAGAAAAACCTGGTCTCTCTAAATCACCTTCAGAGCAGCAATGCAGTGAGGGCATGGACTGTAGCTTGGACCATCCAAATCCCAAAGGAAAGCTGAAGAGCTTCTGCTGAAGCCTCTGCAACCCAACTAAAACTCCCTTTGCCTAGATTAGCATGTCTTTGTCACAATCGGTGACATGGACGCACTATGTGTGGACACGAACATATGCAAACTGGATTTCAGTTTGCCTAGCAGTGTCCTCTTTTTACTTAAATCCTGAGGATGGACAAAGAGCAGCATGCCAAATGAATAATCAGCCTTTTGTATTAAGCCTTCCATACAATTAAAATGAATCTCCAAAGTGAGTTGCTACAAATTCTGTCAGTTACTCACAGCACTATATTTGCACTGTGAACACCTCACTAGTATTTATTTTGTGTTAAAATGTTGTCAAGATCTCATTACCATCGTTTTTTTCCAGGATAATTTACCAGGAGATATCTTTAAACTCAAGCTTAAATCTTTCAGATCAATTAAAAAATGCCTTGCATTCCTCAGTCAAACTGCCAGCACTGCCTTTTGATCACATTTATTTACTGTCACTTGAAGTATGTACAATGAGTAGCACATACTTCAGTTCTTACTGAAAAGAGGGAGACTCAACCGGATATTTATGATTATTTGAGTTGAATCCCACATACTGAAGTGGCAAGAAGAGAAAGCAAGGCCTAACTTTGACGGTGGATTATGAATGACACACATCACTTTTTACCTGTAGAAGGTACTCGAGCTTGTAGGAGAATTTTTGCAAGTTGACACTGTCATCTGTGATTGGTTCCCCTCCTTCTTTAAATTCTTTGCTTAATTCAGTCACAGCATCTTGAAAACAAGACACCAAAACGGTTAACTACTGCAACAGATATATAGCACTGAATCCATAAACGACTAAATGAATGGCTTTTCTGCATGGAAATTACATGTGTATGCACATGTCTTAAGGACAGTGCAAAAAGCTTCCTGATTATGTGTGCAATTTAAGATGACCTATAAAAAACTTACAGCTCAAGTTACAGCAATCTGTGGCACAGGCTAATTCTTCTTGAAAAGAGCAAAACCTCCTTCTGACACGAGTAACAGACAGTTGCTAACTGGTTCTTCAACAGAGGAAAGAGAAATAACTTTTTGCTGCCTCATGTGCACATTAAGGTAGTGCCACAGGACAAAGAGGATTCTGATTAGAAAGGACAAAGCATGTCATCTGCTAGAGGGGATCAGTAACATGAGAACAGTCAGCACATTTATCTTCTCCATGCTTTATTCAGGAAGGTTCAGCTTGTGCTGGTTACAAACACAAATGGGGAAAATAATTTACATTAAAATAAGCAGACAGTAACTGCTCTTCCCTAAAACCTACACCCTTGGTGGGTAAGGAAACCCCAAGTCAAAGCAAACTCTGTAATCTTCCTGGACACTCTGGCCCCCAAAGGGTGCACTTCTCAGCATCAGAAATTGCTGGTTTTGAGCTTGCTTTCCACTTGATTTTTTAATTCTTCCAGGTGCCTGAGTGAGCCTTAACTCACAGTCCCACTTGATCCCCTTTGTGAAGTAAAGTCTCTTCCTGTTAGCAGGCACATATCTCTTTTATTATGTTAAAGGAAGATCTAGATTCCCAGCTTTGGTGCATATCACACTTTACATTTAACCAAAATTAAAAGGAGAAATATCTGGATCTTGGAATAGACAGCTGGTTAGGACAGAGACAGAGCAAGCAAAACAGTTACGAATCTCTGCCTGCCTGCAACAGGAGCTGTGGAAAATTAAGTTGGCTACTGGTAGCGGAGGACAAATCAGGTGCACAGAAAGCACTTTCCAAGAACAGCAGATCCAATACTCAGCACTCTTCCTCCGTGTCTCCATTCCAAGATTGGTTTGGCCTCTTGTTTTTTATCCTTCCCACATTAGCAACAGCTCCTCATCAGCTTCCCACCAAGGGAGGGTGTAAAAACCAGGCCTCCTCCTTTATGTCACATTAAGTCTTGTAACAGCATAGCCAACAAAGTCCTAGCTCACACAACACACCCCAAAGACACTTCTTTTTTTAATTGTAAAACTTACTTCTCATCTTGCATGGTTAAATTTGCAGGATTTAAGAATGTAAGGAGCTGCAAAAGGTATAGCACATCTCTCACAAGAAACATCAGCCACATCTCTACTGAGCACATCACACACCTTGAACGATGTTGGTACAACTGCCGCACAACAGTTACACAAGTGAAAACACAACTCCTTCTGTTTCCAAACACAGAGGTGCATTCCAGCCTACAGAATGAAGCTGCCAGCATGGCACTGTACCTTGCAAGTCCCTGATAATCCGCTGCAACTGGCTTTCACCACCACTTGCTGCCATGCTGAACACCAAAGGAGTTCCCCTTATGGGCTGTTGACCTCCTCATCCATTTAGGTTAAAACAGGAGAGTTCATGTCCTTGATGATCATTGGGCTAATGAAGATGATTCTTCTCTGTGATACCTGCAATTCTGTAAAAGTCAAAATGAAAACAAAAGACTTTATAGTGTCAAAGAAGCAGAAGAGAGGTGCTTTGGCATTTTAGATCCTGGTTAGTAATGAATTCCCACAAGGCCAACCCTTTTCCAGGAACCTCTTTCCTATTTCCGTCTAGATTTGAGTTTCCATTTCAGTTATTTCTTCAGTTAGATCCTTCAAAACTCTTGAGCAAACCTCAGAGAGCAATTTTCCCTTGCTGGAGTTACAACACAGTCGGTCTGACAGCCCAACACAGGCTGGCATTTTATGCCATTCACCTTGTGACCCTGATGTCGGTTCTGATGACAAGGGACTTTCCCCTCACAAACCCTCTGCCAGATCTTCCCCACAGGCTGCAGAGTAAAATGGTACAACAACTTTTCCATTTCAGAGAGGTTATTTCAAGACACAGACTAGGCAGAGGCCAAGGAGTCAAAAAAATGATGTATGTTTGATTCTCTGGCATTGATGCATATCTTTAACTCATCAGAGCTACTTAAAACAGTTAGCACTGGTTTTAGCACGAGAAACATCCCCTCCTCAGAACCCGCTGTTCCAAACACATGTAAGAGGATACCACTCTATTTTAAGCTCTGTAGCAGCACCCCTGGTTAGACAAATATACCTTGCACCACTTCCCTTGCTTAGAACAATGACAAGCAAGTTATACCATTGCAAGGGGGTTGGAACTGGATGATCTTAAGGTCCTTTCCAACTCAAACCATTCTGTGCTTCTATTCTATACCTAGCACTCGTAGAAAACCTCTCCTTCGTTAAATTTAATGAACTAAGATGAATCTAAAGCCTCAAACACTTTGCTAAAACAACCACGTCTGGGGACCCAAACTTTCAAATACAAGCCTAGGAACATTTGTTCTCAAAACCAGGCATTCTGCCTGCAATGGTACAGCCAAATTTGCAAACAAAGTACTGAATTTTCAGAAAACGTGCTGTTATACTTCTGTGCTTTTGTTATCATTCAAGCTCAACAACAGTGAAATTAAGCTGTAATGAAAATCTTACAAACTTCTGAAGTACACACGTAATTAGGTCAAATTACTACATCTTACTCCTTTCTTTCACTCCCCTAACTACATTGGCGTGGCTGAAGCAGGTGTTTGAATGAATAAAACGCAAATCCTTCTGCCCTATGTATCGAGGTATTGTTTGGAAATTATCCTGGTGTAAGCCTGTATTCTTTTCCATTTGAAACAAAGCAAACCTTAACAAAGCCATAGAGATAGAAACAGAGGAAGTATAAAGAAAAGGCTGTAATTAATCTTACTAGTGTGATGCTTCTCTCAATACCTGTGTTTTGTTAGCTGCTAGTTTCTATTTCCATATTTTGATGGCAGTTGTTACAACACAAGTGTCTCATGGCCCATGTGGTGTCTGAGGAAGGGCCTTGGCCTGCAAAATCCCCACCCCAACTGGGTTCTTTCAGGAAGAGGAGGCCAGCACAGCACAACCCTTTGCCGTGCCAAACATAGACTTTTACCCTAAAGCAACAATATTACTTACCCAGGATTCCTATCTTGATTCTACCGAGTGATCATATAAAGCACCACACTTCCTTGCTGAGTTTGGGTGCCAGGGAAAAAAAGCAAGAAGGGAACCCAGCAAGTCAATGTTTCCATGCCTAAACATGTGCATTAATATCAGCCGTATTTGTTCACTTCAGCAACTGTTACAGAAAGGAGCTTAAATGAGAAGACTGAAATACGGGCAATGGAAAACCAAAGCACGTGGCCAAACAAAATGCTCTTCCACACACAACGGGAGAAAAGAGCAAGGACAAACCAGGGGATCCTGCCTGTCCTTCTCAATGGCTGGAACAAGCCCCAGTGCAAGGTCCCAGAGGCACAAAGACTATGCAAGAGGCATGCCAGGAAAAGTGAACAGGCCAACTGCAGGCATGAACAGATATCCCGGAAAAGAAGGCAGTTGACAGCTGAGCTCCTGTCTGCTCCCAGTCACCCCCTTCCTCAGTACAGGAAGCAGGATCTCACAGCTTCCCCCTCCCTTGCATCAGCTCCCACCCATGAAACTTTTAGTTCCTCCCTTCTCTTCCTGGAGGTAAAAGGGATCTTTAGACCTGGGCAAATGCACACGGAGAATCAGGGAATCACAGGGTGCTTTGAGTTGGAAAGAACCTTAAAGATCATCTAGTTCCAACCCCCTGCCATGGGCAGGGACACCTTAATGTGCTGGAATGTTTTCTACCTGCCTTGTCTGCAATATGGGAAGAAAGGTACTTATCCTCTCCATGGTCCTTCCAGATGTGGTCCTTGGAAGCACAGTCCATCTCATGGAAAGGTTCAGAGCTCTCACTTCCTATGGCAAAGAAAGCTGACAATGGGCCTTAACTGGTTTCCTGAGGTTTCAAAACAGGAAGAGCTTCTGTAACACCTGATCTAGTCCTTCCTGACCACAGAACACTTTGCCCAGGATTCTTTAGAGCACAATCCTGTTCCTCCCCAGCATTTCCTATCCTATTATGTAGGCCTATAAATACTTGCTAGGTGAAAACAGCACCACCCATGTGTCAGGCACGAGTGGCCAGCTGTGGGTCAAAAGCTTTTTAGATGATGCATCGCTCCCTCTTATGCAATAGCATTTGACTAAGGGGGAGGGCATTAACTGGCATAAAACTGCAGAGCTGCAATGACATCAGTGCAGTTACACTAAGGACCTGGCACCCAGAGGGCAGAGAAACAAGACAGGGCATGTCACCAGTCCCTCCTTGCATTCTTGGGCCATGCCTGCTGGTGTCTGAAGGTGGCTGCTCCCTTCCCTGCTGGCATAAGTACTGGTGTGGGGGTGTCAATCTTCTTTACAGAGCAGGATATCCTGGAGATTTAAGAAGCAGATAGGAAACAGCCCACTTACAGGAAAAGACTGACCTGAAGGGGAGTGAGACACATCCAAAACAAGAAGCAAAATGACTGTAATTAAACTGGTTAGTGGAGCAGTGGCAATGACCCACTTTTAATCTGATTTCATAACATTTCTCTTTGTGTTTCTGTAGGCATATTTGCATCTCCAGCAGCTACATTCTGCTTAATTCATTGGTTAATTCTGGCCAACCTTGACAGAAGGTAGAGGTGTTCAAAATACTACACTCCTCCATGTGCAATCCCAATGGGAAGCTGGAGGAAGTCCATCAGCAGAGCTCCTCTTCATTGATAAAAAGGCTGCAGCGAGACCTGTGTCACAGCCTGGTATCAGAGAATACACCCACCATCCAAGTCATTTGCAGTGCATACTAAGGGCAGAGCTCACATTTCAGACGTGGTATAGCTCAGTTCAAAATCAAATAATAAGGGATGATCAGGAGCTGGAGCACTTCTCATACTAAGACAGGCTGAGAACATTGGGGCTGTTCAGCCTGGAGAAGAGAAGCTGCGTGGAGACCTCAGAGCAGCTTCCAGCGTCTGAAAGGGGTTACAAGGATGCTGGAGAGGGACTCTTCATCAGGGACTGTAGAGATAGGACAAGGGGTGATGGGTTCAAACTGGCAGTGTTCAAGGCCAGGCTGGACGGGGCTTAGATCAACCTGGTCTAGCAGAAGGTGTCCCTGCCCGTGGCAGGGGGCTGGAACTGGATGATCTTAAGGTTCTTTCCAACCCAAACCATTCTGTGATTCTATGATTCAAATCATATCTGCAAGGCAAATTCATTGGAAACCAAGGCCACAACAGTCTACTGCTTACAAAAATACTTTACATTGACGTAACTACTCTGGTCTAGCCACTCAAAACAAGGACAACTCACCACTTGGCACCCACTACTATCACCAGACCTTTATTTGGTGCCTGCAATTCCATACCTGTTCTAACACTCTGAAACAAAACAGAAAAGTGAGGGTAACCAGCCAAATCCTACATCCATGAGCCCCAACAGTTGTAACTGTGTTATTCTCTTGGGTAATGTGGATCTTGATTTGTCCCATAAAAGCAGATACTGCAAGGCACACTTCTGGAAAGCGTGTGGACAAAACCAACCTACTTGGTCATACAATGCTAAAAGAAACATTGACAAAGAACACTGAATGCAAACCTCACAGCAAAGATGAAGTGGGAGCTGGGGAAAAAGAGCTACCTCTACCTCACAGGACTGTACCACCACTGGTTCAGTTAAATTATTTCATTCCAGTAACTGTGTGGGGAAAAGCACTTTGTTGTTGCAGGAAATATCAGAGCACCAGTGGAATTTACTACAGCTGTGGAGTTAGTTTTCCTCCTTTTGCACCACAAAGCTGTACATCCATAAAGCTAAAGAACTGTTTGCTAGAAAGAAGGCTCTGAGGTGAACTCCAAAAAAAGACTGCACGACTCTTCTGTCAGGCACACACACATGCTTCTCCTGAGCAACTCAACCCTTTGTGCTCAACACTGCATATAAAGATATGGGACTGATAACACACACTGGCCTACATGAAATAGGAGCATTAAAAAACAAAAGGTAGGCACAGCCTGAACGTCAACCAAGGTTTCCATTCCAAGAAGTGAAATTTTCTTGCTGAATTAACCTTCCCCCTTCATTTTCTACACCAACAAACCTTCACATTTCAATTACAAAACTAACATTTTGGAGGAATATTTTTTCTTTCTCTTAGCACTTCAAATCTAAGACCATGCTGCAAACCTATGCTGGATTTCCACACACTCATAGATGCAAACCTTGTTTTGAAGTGTTCAGGCATATAAACCTAGACTCATAGAATTCCAGACTGGTTCAGGTTGGAAAGGACCTTAAAGCTCATCCAGTTCCAATCCCCTGTCATGGGCAGGGACACCTCACACTAGAGCAGCCTGCTCCAAGTCCCTGTGTCCAACCTGGCCTTGAACACTGCCAGGGATGGGGCAACCACAGCTTCTCTGGGCACCCTGTGCCAGCACCTCAGAACCCTCACAGGGAAGAACTTCTGCCTTAGATCTAATCTAACATTCGGTACTAACACATATCCTGCAGAAAATATGCATCCAGAAAAAGAAATTCACAGAGTATAGCTCAGCAAAACCGAGCAACCAGACAAAGTGCACAAAGCCAATCACATATTTTGCAGATGCCTAGCAGAAAAAGTAGCATGCTTATAGTCAGGGGGTCCCTACAATAAAGACCTTTTGTAGGGAGGCCCTTGTGCTTTAGCCATAATTGCATCTAACAGCATAAGAATACAAGCTAATGACATAGACAAAATCCTGCTTTAACCCCTGACAGGAGAGACTGACACAAAAGAACTGGAAAAGTTTTGTAT